ACATCCACAAAACCGCCATATGCACACCATTCGGTTTATTCGAAAGTACCCGTATGCAATTCGGCTTATGCAATGCATCCGCGACTTTTCAACGTTTTATAGATGAAGTCACGCGGGATTTAGAAGGTGTTTACGCTTTCGTCGATGACTTGCTCATAGCCTCTAAAGATTCTGAGGAACATTGCAGGCATTTGAAAGCTTTATTTTCCAAACTTCAGGAATATGGACTTTGCATAAATGTTTCAAAATGCACCTTTGGTCAAACATCTATTGATTTCTTAGGTTTTCACCTTAGTGAAAACGGAATTGAACCTCTTCCTGACAAAGTCAAATGTATTTTAGATTTTCCTCAACCTACCACTCTCACTCAGCTTCGCCGATTTTTAGGCATGTTTAACTTTTATAGATGTTTCATACCTAAAGCAGCACATATTCTTTCTCCTTTAATAAAATTGTTAGAAGGCTATATTAATAAAAAGAAATCTCGTTCTCGTGTTCAGGATTCATCCCCACAATTAAATTGGAACGAGAATGCTGAACAAGCCTTTATTGCTGCCAAAAATGCCATTGCTCAGGCTACCCTTTTGAGACACCCTATTCCCGGAGCCCAGCTAAGCATCTGGGTAGATGCCTCAGACGTCGCAATCGGCGGCACACTTATGCAGTTGTCTCAACAAACATGGGAACCTATAGCATTTTTCTCTATGAAACTCAATAAAAGTCAACAGAAATGGTCCGCGTACGATAGGGAATTATTTTCTATTTATTCTGCAATTAAGAAATTCCGACACATGTTAGAGGGCAGAAATTTTATAATTTATACGGATCAAAAACCGTTAATAATATACGCTTTTAAACAGAACCCTCATAAATGTTCACCTCGACAATTGCGCCATTTAGATTTTATTTCTCAGTACTCTACTGATATTAGGCATGTGCAAGGTTCAAAAAACGTCGTTGCTGACGCTCTTTCAAGAATCGAAATTGATTCCATAACAAAATCTCCATTTTTGGATTTTAAAAAAATTTTCGGAAGCTCAACGGCATGATCCGGAGGTACAAGACCTTCTCAAAAACAACACATCATCTTTGAAACTGGAATTTAAACCGTGCCAATATTCTGATGGTAATATTCTTTGTGACATATCAACAGACATTCCTCGTCCATTTGTTCCGAATTCCTTTCGCAGACTCATCTTTAATCATCTGCATAATCTGTCACATCCAGGAATTGCAGCTACTACGAAGCTTATTTGTTCTCGTTATGTATGGCCCGATATGAAACGTCATATCAAAAATTGGGTGAAATCCTGTGAATCTTGCCAAAAATCGAAAATTACTAGGCATACTAAAGCACCACTGGGCACATTCTCTCTTCCTGATGCACGTTTTTCAGAAATCCATATGGATATCGTCGGACCGTTACCTCCATCAGAAGGCAACGTGTACCTTTTGACTCTAATAGATAGATTCTCCAGATGGCCTGAAGCCATTCCCATCCCGGATATGAAAACGGAAACCATTTGCAGAGCCATCTTCAACTGTTGGATATCTCGTTTTGGCTGCCCATCGATCATAACAACAGACCAAGGTTCTCAAATGAGATCCGCACTTTTTGCAGAATTCACGCGCATTTTGGGTACGAACAGAATCACAACAACAGCCTATCATCCAATGTCCAACGGCATTGTTGAACGATTTCATCGACATTTAAAATCTTCTCTCAAGGCTCACGAGACCAATAACTGGACTGAAACACTACCAGTTGTTATGCTTGGTATTCGGACAGCCGTAAAGGAAGATCTACAGTCATCTTGTGCTGAACTGGTGTACGGCACAACTCTCAAGCTGCCTAGTGATATGATAACGTCATCTAAGATATCTCCGTATGACACACAATTTATCACGAATCTTCGGCATAGAATGCAACAATTGAATCCAATAGCAACATCTGCACATTGCCAAGAAAAAGTGTTACGTAAGTGCTACCTTAAAGTCGTGTACGCATGTATACTTACGTGTCGATCGAGTAAAGCCACCTCTGTGCCAACCATATACAGGTCCGCATAAAGTCCTTTCTAGAACGGACAAAACTTTCACAATTGATATTAACGGTCTGAAATCTACTGTGTCTATAGACCGTGTGAAACCAGCCTATTTGCTTTCGGACTCTAATTTGCCTGAACTGAAAAACAATAAAGACTTAAAGACAGTTCAGCAGAATAAATCTGCAAACGAACTCTCTAAGACACAAACTGTCACCAGATCGGGAAGACATGTTCACTTCCCTAAGAAACTTGCTTCTTACATAACAATTTAAAACATTTTTTTTAAATTCATATCTTAACATATTTCTTGTTATTTCATGTTTATTATATGTGTCAATACCTTGTTATATATTGAATTTGCATTTTGATCTTTTCTAATTTTATATTCTAATTTTGTAATCAAAAAAAAAATACCCGACAGTACGGATACTCTGAGATAATTTCATAACCTATGTCGTTCCTTTGAATAGCCATTAAAGGAACTGGGGGGAAACTCTGTGGTGATGGCGGCGATAAGGAGCGCGCCTTGCGCCCTCCGATAAGTGTGGCAACCCTAGAGGAGAAGTTTCTTACGAGTAGCGAGCAGAGCGAAACAGGCAGGCTGTCGGGCAGTGTGCGCGAAGTTCCTAAATAAAGCTTAATTTTTATTGTGCACTATGTCTTGTTAATATTATATTAATGCAGTAAGAACATAATCTGTGATATGGTGGAAGTAAAACATATACCTCCATTTTTAAAAGAGAAAGAATAAAAAAAATGCATGGAAGCACTTTAAACCAGGACTATGCATCAGCTAAATTAAAAATTTAAAAATACAAAAAAACCTTTTAAAAAAAAAATAAATTTTTATAAACCGCCATAAGTAATGTTTAAAACATTAGATTAAATTTATAGATATTAAAAACTAATTACTTTTAAAGTAAGGTGACATCATTGATTACATCATCCACAACATAAAATATCATAAGCAATAAAATTTTTATTTCAAATAAAAATGCAAAATTAAATTGATTTTTAATATTTAGAAGCCATAAATAATATTTAAAACACGGAATTTATGCATAATAAAACACATTATTTTTTAAATAAAATGACGACAAAGTTTTAATTACCATAAATAACTTATCCAGCAATGGGTTTACCATAAGTCATATTGCTCGCCAAAAGAAAAATCGCCAAAATCCGTGCAACCATGTACCAAACTAGCATCCAAAATTCCTTAAGAGCATCCAAAAACTTCCTAAAATTATCTGAACTGGAATCTATATACTGTTGTTGCCACATAAATTCACAAATAAGAGTCGAAAATATCCTCCATAGCGTCTTTAATAGTGTGACAATACTCATTTCCTTCCTACAAGCAGGACACTCAATAATGGTTACTAAGGAAACCTTCATTTACACACAGTCAAGTAATGCTCTTTTCCCTTTTCTTTCCAAATTATACAGAAACTTCAAATTAATCTCGCCACATTCAGCCATTTTACTGTCTAAACCACAAAACAAGCAATGAGCCTCCTAACCAACACGTACCGCAAGACCTTACAGATCTTTTCCCATAATTGAAATTCACCGCAGTCACGCAACCAATTATGTCATAATAGGGTTTCCATAATTTTCAGCTACTCGGGGCACCATAAATGAAACAACTTCGCAATATTACAAGGGGCACCCTTAAATCTACTCTAACCAAGCTGTCTCTTCAGAAATAGCATATTCTGTGTATTTTGCCCTCTCCCAATTTTCAGTCGATAAAATTAATTAGGAAAGGGCAAAAAATAGGTGAGTAAATATGGTACTTGAAATTCTGACAGAAAATTGCAAGAGACTTTTCAGCAGTGTTTTATTTCAAATTCACTTTTGCATGAACTTTTAGTTACATTACATGAGGTACATTGATAATACATATATTGTTCATCTGATTTTAATGCATCATAATTTCTAGCTGAATATTAGGAGAGCCATCAGTAAATATTATCTTATTTAATTTTTAATTTATGCATTACCTTTTTTTCATCTTTAAAAGTCATGGAATTAATTATAAACTTTCTGACTTTGTATATCTTTTTAACTTTCTGACTCATGTGATGGTATGATATAAAAAATCTTTTTCATTATTTAATATAATAATTCTTAAAATGTATAGTATATTGGGTACTTACGTATTAACGCAACCAGGCCAAAATTCGCATAAATCGCCAAATTTGGCGACCCTACTTACGGCAACTTTACGTGTCTAGATGAAAGTTTATTTGTAAAAAGAAAAAATAACACTGGGCGTGTACTACCACAGCAATGGGTTTTCGGCGGAATTTGCCGAGAAAAGAAAGAGACTTTTTTGGTTACTGTACCTAACAGAAGCACCGTTACCCTCATGGAAAAAATTTGCGAAAATATCAAGGAAGGAAGCATCATTTGTTCGGATTGCAGGAAAGGATACAATACAAGTGAGTTCGAAAATGCTGGATTTCTGCATGGAACTGTTAATCACAAATATAACTTTGTGGATCCCAGCACGGGCGTTCACACACAACGTGTAGAGCGCATGTGGGGCTCAGCCAAATGACGCAACAAAAAACAGAGAGGAACAGCCCGTCATCATCTTGACTCATACCTTATCGAATTTATATGGTGCCAAGCTCAAGCTGTTAATGGCGAAGACGGTTTTCAATCAGTGTAAAAGCAATAGCCAAAAGATTTCCGCCGAAAAAATAATTCTGCAACTTATTCAAATTCGAAACCGGAAGGGTTTAATTGCTATTTTATATTTTAAAACAAAATAATATAAAAAACTGTATTAAAAATTATCTGTAATTAATAGATGTACATTTTCTTTCTATTCATACTTTTTTACTCAAACTTACAAATCGCGCCAACCTGGTTGCGAGAATGCGTAAGTACCGTATATTGATTCTACTTTTATATATATTTATTTGGTATAATTATGTTCAGCTTTAGGTTTGTTGCTTATTCATCTGCCAAGTTGGATATATTCAGGATGTCGCAGTTTGCAGCAACGAAAAATCCTCCTTGGGTTAGAGCAGGAGGTAAGATGGCAAATGTAATAGCAAAGTATTTTTAAGCAAAAATTGTACATTTTTCATTAGAAGGTGTTAGTAAAAATTTCTAAATTATATTCATTTGCTCTCATTTTTAGTATGGTGTTTTTTTTAAAATTTGTTCACAGAAATTTTTTTATTTTCAAGACTGATAAATATATCCACAGCTTAGTAAAATTTTATATTTCTCAAAAAAATTTGGTAAAAATATATGTACAGCTGTCCCTTTTGTGATAACTGGCGATTTTTGGCAGTACATGGACACTGAGTTTGTGCAGTTCTTATTTTGACTTTGTGTAGTTGTGATTTTTGGCCCCAAAAATCACTGCTACACAAATTCAGAATAACAAGTCAAAGAATTGCACAAACTTGGTATCCATGTACATATCGACCTATTTTCACGTAAAAAAAAAAACAAAAAACTTATTGTAACTTTATAGTAAATACTGTATATTAACTGCGTTCCAACTCCAGCAAATCTGCAACAGCCTTTAGCACCTTATAGATCAGTTCCACCCCCAATTTTGATGGAGAGCTTCCTGCGGGAGACAGGTCCAAGGGCCTCCCAGCCTCTTTCCTTACCAATGAGAGGACTTTCGGCTCGCCTCATATTTAAAGTGCCTCCATACTGCATGGACACTATACATTTAAACATGGACACTATACATTTAAACATGGACACTATACGTTAAAGCCTACTTCTTGATTTGAACCCGGGCCTTTCTGCACAGCAGCGACGATAACCACTACGTCGGTTGGGCAGCCCAGCAAATCCAAAGCTATGACACTAAGTGCATCTGATAAAGTGTATTCAACTTTTAACACTTACCAAGCATACCAATATCAGGCATTCACTTCTGTTTTTATCAGCAACTTTCTGTCTCTAAGTAAGCAGCAGTGGTGGCAACAGCCAAGCTTCTGTTACAAGTCAAATTATAATTTTACTTCGCAATTTAACTTATGCCTCTGAGCAAGTACGTGATGCAATGAGGCTTAAAAGGAAGAAGCAGTATAAAGCTAACTGTTAGTGTAGCTAACAGTCAAAAGTCGTTAATCCGGACTCGTCGGGACTTCGGTGATTCCGGATTATAGATCATCAGTTTAAATCTGGTAAGATGGCATGCAGAAATTATAAAATTAAAAATATGAAACCATAATTTATGAAATAAAGAGCAATTATGATCTAAAGGGTATCAAAATTTACAAAAAGAAAAAGCTAAATATTTATTTGTTTACTTTATTAAACATTTCATTCAATGTAAATTGTTAAATTTGCTTCGTTTCATGTGATAATACTTTCTCTTTAATTCTATTAAACAGACATAATTTCTTGTTAGTTACAAAGTTCCGCTGTTCAAGTCCTATAATTGCTGTTTCGAGAATACCGACTAATTTGTCAATCGAAATTTTTTCGTTTTCAATAACCTCCGAGTCACTTTCTTCACTATCGGAAGCGAATTATAATGACGAGGAACTTGATTTAAATCATATCAAAGACTGAGTATATCGAGATGAAATACTACATTTAGTAAAGAATTATAAGCCAAATAAAATAAAAACATCTGCTCTGAAGATAAGGATAGTGCTGACAGATTAACTTCCAATTCATTGCGTGCCGTATCGTTTCCCTCCCCCCACAGAGCAGCGTGAAATTGATAAACATATTTCAGAATGATTAGATAATCAAAGGATATGTGCCTTTATACATTTTTTGCAGCAATTCCACTTTCTGTTTAATGGATCGAAACATACTTTCGCTTTGTAGATCCTTTACGTATTAGTAAATATATATCGGAAATTCTATTTGACATAATCGGAAGTTCAAGCTTACTTTTATAAAATTGCTCTAACAGTCAGTCTGCAAAAAATATAAGCCGGATCCAATTTGAAGATTAAGGAACAACGCAATCTGCAACATTAACTGAAATAAATAATTAGATAGTTTTAGCTTATACTGTCCGTTATACATTAAACGCGCATGCGTAAACGTAATATGCGCATGCGTACATGTATATTCGCAGCCGTAAAGGTCTTACGTGCATGCGTAAACGCCTATGCGCATGCGTGAACGCCACACGTGCGCAGAAAGATTTTAGCTTTGATGTCCGGATTATAGATCATTCTGGATTATGGGTGTCCGAATTAACGACTTTTGACTGTACGAACACTTACTCTTAAAAATTTATAGGATTATTATAAGTGCAAGACATAAATGTTTCAAGAAATTTTATAGTTTAATGCTAATTACTTGAAAGAATTTGTGAAGTTTATTTATTTTTAAATTTTCTTTAAAATAAAGTTAAATATTAGATTATGTGTAATAATAATGCATCCTACTGACATATTTATTTTATGTTTACAAATTCCATAAGTGGTATCACAAAAGTGAAGTTTGGGTGTGGATAACTGCTTTAGTTTATTCAATTCTTATTTGCTTGATAGGTCCTTAATTTTCCATTGATGGCTCTTAAAATTACTTAAATTTCCAAATCGAAAAATGTGTATGAACCCTGTATGTGCGGCACTGACAAAGAGTTGTGAAGTTGGTGGTGGCAAATTTCTTGACAATTTTATTCATAAAAGGGAACAGCTATTTTCAAGATGAATAATTTTCATTAAGAATTCTGTATAAAAACAATCTATAAAATTAAAAAAGCAAGAACGTTGGTAGTAAAGCATTTACCATTTTCAGGAAGTCCCTTTTTGTGCTTTTGTTGTCTTCATAAACACAATGATCTGTTTTTACTTCGAAAACACCAGAGAATTATACAAACTTTGCATTCATATAACTGCCACTGAGCACCAGCCAAAATTAACACATGCAATATGCATATTGGGATTATCACATATCTGTGTTGTTTATGAATGCTTTTGCTTTTTGAATACTTTTTTACAAGTTTTTGGTGAGGGTGCAGATAATGTAAAAGTTATCCAAGTTTGTTTGCAATGCAAGCACTAACTGAAAAGTTTCATATTGCTATATCTTGACTTCTTCTATTTAAACATAAATTATTGTGATATTGTAAGTAAAGTGCAGCTATACCATAAGCGAATCTCATTATTTTCAGTTTTATTAAACTTTTTTATGACAGAACCTTAGCAAAGTGGCATTTGCAGAAAATTTATTTTCTGTGTAAATATCCATTGCATTGTACATGCTTATTAAGTTATAAAAATATGTTTCAGATTATAGAATAAAAAATGTAATATAGCCTTTTTAAAATTTTGATTCTTTTCAAAAATGGTGATAATTATTGTTTGACTATTCATGTTTGTAGCTACCAACTTAGTTCAACCACCACCTCCAGGTTCATCATTATTAACAGCTCAGCAGGTATCTCATGCTTCTGCTGCAGGTGCAGGGATTGCTGCTGCTGGTCCAAATCCTTTAGCTACAGCTGCAGCAGTTGTTGCAGCAGCCCAAAATCAGCAGGCACAGCAAGCTCCAGCAGTTAGTGCTTCTTACAGTACTGGTCTTGCAGCAATAACCTTGACGCAGGTAGTGTTGATTTCATTATGAGGGCATGTATTGTATGCAGAAATATATGGGTAATCATGTAATATGTAATCTACCACTTTTAGTTAGTAATTTATTAGCAGTACTAAAAGTGGTTGTTATTTTAATCATTTCTCCCCCCTTTTATTGCACGTTCAGATTTAAAAATAGCATTTTAGTCATGCCATCTGAGAAGTGTGTAACTAAAGTGGTAGATTGATTGCATATCACATGACTCCCAATATATATTTGATTCCTATATGTTTCTTTTTATTTACAGTGTCTTTTGATCGAGTCGGACTTTCTATTTAAATGCATTGAAGGCCTGGAGGTTTTATTAAGTACTACAAAGCCTTTCATTGGCATCATATATCAGTGAAAACAAATTATAGTTTTTGAATTAAATATTTTGAAAGTGATTGTTTTCAGGTATGAAAAACTAGTATTTTTATGTAATATGCATTATTTGTGCAATGCTATATGAAAAACATGTAGCAATAAATTTTGGAAATGATTGTGGAGTTCTCCCTTTTTATCTAACAAGTAAATGTGGAAGAATCTAATGGACAGCTAAGCGAATTATCGCTCGAAATATGTTTGGTGAGAAATTGTAAGCTGAAATTAGGATGGACATGAAAGTAGCTTTAACTAAAGGTAACTGTTAAAAATTTAGGATAAAGTTTACATGATAAAGTAAGAAAATAATATGGAACTTATAAAATAATATAAGCTCTGTTATATATTTAATGTAATGTATTAATCACTGCTGTTGCAAACTAATACCACATCTTGTTTTATAACTTTTATTTGAATTTTATGTAAAAAAAATTAATTTAGTACAAGAATTAAAATTTAACATAAAAAAAAAAAAAAAAAAAAAAAAAAGAGGGCAAAAACTAGAATTTTATGTAAAAAAAAAAATTAAACAAAATTAACCTTTACATAAAAAAAAAAAAAAAAAAAAAAAAAGAGGGCAACAAGCTATCCTTTTGGTATTTTACCACAGTAGAGAGATTGTAGGGCATCATTCTCTAGAGATATGCATTAATGCAAGGGTAAAGGTGACATACCTGTTTTTATAACCGTTACTTTTATTAGATTAGGACATTAGTGTAGCACATATACGCGGATAACAAAAATAAATATCAGATGCGAGTTGTACGATGTAATCAAAGAGTAATCGGGGGCTGTCTGGTGTCAGTCTCAAATTTACCTCCTTACTGGTTAGAAATTCAACAGATTCTCCTCCCTGCTAGGGTGGTAGCACCATTTCTTTGATCTGGCTGCTCCTTAAGAGTTGTCCGTATTTCCATAAATCTTCTAGTATTACACATAGTTTCAATATACACATAGCAGGTTTTTTAATGAAAATATGTTTCTTTCTGACCTCATTTTTCAGAAAAGTAAAATTAGCTTTTCAAATGAATATTCTGAATTTTTTTCTTTTATTAGTATATTTTTTTATTTTAGTGATCATTCTTATTTTATTAATTTCATTTCCTCCTTTGGCAGTATTTTTGAAATACCTGCTCTGCTGCTTTATTATAAATTTTTCTTAAGCTTGGGAGTAATTCGTCTAAGAATGGCTATTTTCTACAAGCATCATGCAGATTTAATTTACCTGGATTTTTTTTTAAAAATATTTTTCATCTTATTTTCAGATTTTCTTTACATTTTTAAAAGTTTTGTTTTATTGGTTGATTAATTTTTCATAAGTGCATATCTTAATCTTCAGTTTACTTTATATACTTTCTCAAGCTTAGTATTTTTCACATGTATCATTTTAACAGCTGATTTATTATTACAGTCAAAAGTCTTTAATCTGGACTCGTCGGGACTTCGATTCCGGATTATTGGTTTTTCCGGATTATAGATCATCAGTTTAAATTTGATAAGATGGCATGCAGAAATTATAAAATTAAAAATATGAAACCGTAATTTATGAAATAAAGAGCAATTATGATCTAAAGGGTATCAAAATTTACAAAAAAAAAAAAAAAAAAAAAAGCTTAATATTTATTTGTTTACTTTATTAAACATTTCTTTCAATGTGCGCATGCGTAAAGCATACATTACACATAGTCGAAATTAGAAAATTGCAACCAGAAAACTATTTGATGTGTATTCGTGATATTTAAAATGACGAAGAATTTGACTTAAATGATATTAAAGACGGAGTACATCGAGATGAAATACTACATTTAGTAAGGAATTATAAGCCAAATAAAAAAAAATCTGCTTTGAAGATAAGGATAGTGCTGACAGATCAACTTCCAGTTCATTGCGCGACGCGACGTATCCCCCCCCCCCCCCCGCCCGCAGAGCAGCGTGAAATTGATAAACAGATTTCGGAATGGTCAGAGAAACAAAGGATATGCCTTTATCCATTTTTTTTTGCAGCAATTCCACTTTTTGTTTGATGGACATCGAAACATGCTTTCTCTTTGTAGATCCTTTGGCAGCTCCAGAATCGGAAATTCTTTTTGACATAATCGAAAGTTTAAGCTTACTTTTATAAAATTGCTCTAACAGTCTGCAAAAAAATAATAAGCCAGATCCAATTAAAAGATTAAGGAACAATGCAATCTGCAACATTAACTGAAATAGGTAATTAGATAATTTTAGCTTAGCTTATACCGTCCGTTATACATTAAACGCGCATGCATATGCGCATGTATAAAGGTATTATGAGCAATGCGTTTACGCATGCGCAGAAAGTTTGTAGCTTCGAGGTCCGGATTATAGATCATTCCGTATTATGGACGTCCGGATTAAAGAGGTTTGACTGTATACAAAAAGTTTTCTTCTTTTCGGAAGGATAAATAATTGGTTGATTTGTTTTCATAACCTTTCTTTTCCACATATATAATTGACTTTTTGATTTATTATGTATATATTTTGTCATATATAAAGTCTCCACAGTTTTTTTGCAACTAGATAGTGTTGATGCCTATATATCCGGTGACACTCACCCGATTGTCTCAAACGAACATGTGCTTAAAAAGGAGACATTCAGCTTCTATTGTTTGTGAAGATAGTTTTCTAATTTGTTGCTCCTGTAAAAAGTTATATTGATATGAAAATGAGTGAAATATCTGAAGAAATATGCTACATGATGCTTTTTTAATGTAAAAACATGCAGAAAAATTTGTGAAGTGTACAGTGAGAATGCTGTGTGTAAACAAAGGACCCAGGAGTGGTTTGCTCGATTCTCTTCCAGAAATTTCGATGTCGAAGATGCGCCTTGCTCTGTTCTAGTGAAACCATCAATTCATCTCTGTACTGTGCACAACTCGACCATTTGAATGAAGCAATCCAGAAAAAGCGACCAGAATTGGCCAACAGAAAGGGAGTTGTGTTCCGTCATGACAATGCGTGGTCACACACATCTTTGATGACTCGCAACAAATTGATGGAACCTGGTTTGAAAATTTCTATGCATCCAACTGTATAGCCCGGACCTTGCACCGTCTGACTACTTTTGTTTCAGTCTTTGCAAAACTCTCTTGATGGTAAAAAATTCACTGACTGGAGAGCCTCTGCAAAATGGTCATAGATAATAATGGTCAATATGTACTTGATTAAAATTGAAACTCAATAAAGAAAATTTTTTTAAAAAATGTACCAAAAAAAATCACAGAGACTTTTTATGTGGCCCAATAGTTAATATCTAAGAAATGTTTGACATAATTTTTTTATCATTGTATCTTTTATATCTCAAAATGTTTGCTTTTTATAGATATTCATATATGGAAATTGTTTAAAAATCTATACTTGTATTCAAAATTTTTTTACGTGTGCATGTACATGCATGCACTCTCACAAAAAAGCTTGAGTTCATAAAAGCATTGAATTAAATGATGTATAGCCCATAACATATAAACACAAATTGAAAAACTGAATTCAAATTTTCATCACCTGACATGGTTATGCATCAAAAAACATGTTGGGAAACATGTTAATTTGCCATTATTCCTTCCCATGCCATCACATGTTTACTAGTTGTATTCCATAATGTTGGTGGGAATATTTCATTTCACTTTCTTCTGTGGTTGTGAATGCATTTAAAATCGAATTTCAAACTGCATCAACCTCTAACTTTAGAGAACACTGACCCGTTGTGATCGATTTCTGCCATGATCTTCTCTGCATTAATTCAAGCTGATCTTCTTTGGTTGCAGTATCAGTGTAACACATTATCTTTAACATTTTTGCATAAAGGCTTTTATCATTAACATTCTGGATGGAGTTTGTAGCAATGTGGAACTTTCAGTGGTGGGTGCAGACTGTAAACTCGGCTGTCCTAATCTGTGCATTCCTAAATGACATATTTTTCAGAATGGAGTCACATTGAGATAATTATTGGGCAAGAAGCTGAAACATGAAACCCTGGTCTGCATATATCTTGGGATTGAACTAATGGGGTTGTGGTTTCCTACATGCACAGTTAAAACATGGACCAGTTTCCTTTAAAAATAGTCTTCCATGAAGATATCCTTTCCCATGGCCAATATTAGAATACTTTGCTATTAGCAAATAATCTAATTTAATGCTAAAAAAACTTTTGATATTTTTTATCAATCTGCAAAATTAAAAATGGAATTATAATAAAACTTACCATATTTTATGCATTGTTCTTTGTATACATAGTGATTTGTTTTAGCTTAAAAATTATCTGGAAACTGTAGGAACTTGCTATCACTTCATGACTTGGCTCTGTGCACAATGTTGTTCTCTCCAGGTACACCTCGGTCTGTTTGTGCTTAGCAAAACATCAGAGAATTGCACAGATTTGGCATTGCAAATACTGTCGTTTCCCTATGAACACAGGGATCTGTTTTTGCTTGGGAGGGGGAGGAATCAGACATGCTTTCTTTTTTATCAACCACCAAACTCTGTTCTTCCATTATGGTGCCTTACAACGGGAGGGAGAAAAAAAATGCAAAAACTTATCAAAAACTAAGCAGAAAAAAGATTGTTAAATTTGAAAAGTTGAAATTTGCACTATTGTACTATATGCACATGCATGTATTGAATAGCTTGGCATTATAGAGCCTAGCGAATTCTTTTCAAGGCTGAGTGGATAGTAAAAAAATACCAATTTTTTAAAAAATATTTTTTAGCTTTTTAGAGCACTTTCATGAGTATAAAATTGTGATTTTTTTTGGTAGGAGTGTTTCTGATTTTTTAATTTCTTAACTTTATTGTAAAGCGATTCTTTATTTATTTATTTATTTTTATTTTTCAGAGTGCTTTGCAACAAGGTGCTATGTTGCAGCAGGTAAACTATATATTATGTTAAATTATTAAATTTTTTAATGCCTAAAGCAACTATGTTTAAAAATAATGATTTTGATAAAATAATTTCTAATTTCATTGGTGTGTATGTTTTAAATTTTGCAATAACGTTATGTATTTCTTTTCAAGTTATCGTTATGTTATCTGTATTTGCATATGATTATAAGAGAATAAAATTTTAGATAAATTACAACAGAATTCTTGAGAAGGTTATTCTAAATTATGAGTATTATATAATTTTCAAAATTTTATCTATTCTGATATAGAATTTTTCTAGTATTCATAAAAATAGTATTGGCAAAATACTGAAAATAATTTTCTTGTATTTTCGTTACATTTGAGTTTAGCATTTAAAAGAATGAATTAAATAAATGTATTCACTTTGAAACTGAAAATCCATTTTTATTTAAAACAAAATTTTATTCTTAAATAAATGGATGATAATCTTTTAAATGGAAAATGTATGTAATATTCTCATGTTTCATGTTGTAATTGTTAAGAAGCAATTTTATTTATTTATTTTTTCCATTTTTCAGCAAGGTATAGCTATTCCTGCATCATTAGCTGCCACAACACAAGTTGCAAATGTAAATGTAAGTTCTTAATATATATTTTATTGTCCAGAAAGTCTACCAATTGCTTTTATGGTGTGAACTATTTTGAGTGAAAATTTTTATAATAATATGGTAAGCATTTGTAATAAGTAATTAAAAAAAATGCTGAATTTTTTTTTTCTGTATCAATAAATAGTGACAATCGCTATTAATTTTAATCGTTGGGAAGGAACTGATGAGTCATGAATATGTTGCAAATGTTTGTTTTGTTCCAGTTGAAAGCTGATCATAAAACTAAGTATTGTCCACATTGTTGAACGGACAAATTCTGGAAGATTGTTAATCCTGCCCTTTTAGAACTAAACTGGTACTGAAGTTCAGATATGTGCTAATCTTTCATTCTCTTCAACTTTGTTGACGAAAGTTTATTCTTCAAAGATACAGTTTAGTGACTTGAAAATGTGGCATGTTTTTAATACAAAGCTTGCACGACAGCAATGGCAAATCTTTCATGAGAAGATTGAGGTGGTAGAAATAGAAAGTGGCCCATTGTGACAATATTCAGTTCCTTCTTTGAAAAAAGAAGCGGTGAGCATCTCTGGGAAGAGTGTATATATATATATATATATATGTTGTAATAGAAAGCAGGTGATTGAATCCGCTATGAACAGAGAGAATTTTGATGTTGTAGAATGCTAAAACGCTGATCCACAATGAATAAGAAATTTGGCAGTCAAAGTATATTTAATTCAACTTTTATTTCACTAAATATGTTGCTGCCACAATCAAGTTGGCACATTAATTGTGCGTATTCAAAAAATTTACATTTTAGATAAATTTGCTGTAAGAAAAAAGGAGTAGACAGACTGCCGTGCATCTAGGCCAAACCGTAGAAAGCAAGTGTGCTATGTTCAGGGTGAAATCTTAATTCAGACTGAGTTAGTTTTGGTTCTTAATGCATTTTGATTGGATAATTAATACTGCTAAAATTACTATTGGCTGTTTTAGTTCCATTTACATCACCAGAATTATGTAAGAGTCATATGACATGGATTAATCTCTTACTATTTTTAGAATAGAGAAGGAAAATTAATTTACGTTGCTATTTTAATCTTTTACATATTCTTTATTTGTCTTACATATATGTAATATATTCAAACTCTGAAACTTAGAAGCAGTTTTAATAAATTCAGGAGCAGGAAGATCCATAATGACTAAGAAATTGGAGGTGAAGGCAGATTACATCTTCAGTTTTATTTTCAGCTCAGCAACATGTTACGGTTACACACAAGTCGACACATTAAATATGCCTGTTCCAAAAGGCTTACATTTTTGATAATTTTGTAGCAAGAAAGCAGAGCAGACAGAAAGCAGTGTAGCTGGGCAAAGTGTGGAAAGCAAGTGCAGTACGTTCAGGATGAAATCTGAAGTCAGGCTCAGTTAGTTTTGATTCTCAAAGCATTTTGCTTGGATAGTTAATATTACTGTAGAATTATTATTGGCTGGTTGAGTTTAAGTTCTATTTACATCATCATAATTACGTAAGAATCATATGACATAGAATAGTCTCGAAATGACACAGTGCAGAGAGGGTTTACTATTTTTAGAATAGAGAAATTCACGTTGCTAATTTAATCTTTTATATATTTTTTTATTTTTCTTACACACACAACACACACACAAAAAAAAAAAAAAAAAAAAAAAAAAAAAGATAAAAAAATGTGTAAATCAAACTTATAATTTAAATTAGCTATAGTCCTTAATTCCCCCTCTTTATCTAAAAATCGTAATAGCTTTTCTGACTAAGTGATTTCTAGATAAATATTTCTTGCATGGCTTGTGTAACACTGATTGTGTAGCTAATTCAAAACCTGAACTCAAATTTTGAGAACTGAAACCTTTCTAACCTAAACCAAAACCTTCTCTTGGTGAGCCTCCATTTTGGATAATTGCGCACTTTAGCTTCAGCTGTCTTGCTGCCAAGATGCTACTCTGCTCTCTTTGCTTTGTTGTACTACAAACTACGCCGTTACCTAAAACGTGATACTCTCTATAAAATTGTGGGATGTGTATTGTGCCTATGATCACGTGTGATAAAAAATATATGTTTGATAATTAGTTCATGTCTAGCAGTAAAAAATATATTCAATTCAGCTACGTCTGTCCGTGTCTGTCTTGCTAGTTGCCAGCAGTACTTTTTGTTGATGCAAAGTAAAGCAACTTTTGAGTAACAAATCCTGTTGAACCCAGTTAACAGGTAGATTATACAGGTGGATCTTTGTGTCAGCTGATACCTAAATGGTCAGTTCATTCAGGTTCACTCAAGCTTTGTGCTGATGTAGAAGCCTCATTTATCATGTCATCTAATGATGAAATCCAGTGAAGTATTAGTCGAGGGATAAAACAAGAGGAAATGGGACTTCCACATATCCTTCTTCAGCAGATAGATTTCACATTGATTAAGTTCGTTTCCAAAACCAAGGACATGCTGTGTGTGATTACTTAAGTTATGTGAATCTCTATGGTCTATACAAGCATGTCTGCTTTTATAGTTATCTGTTGAAAAGTTGCCAATACCAGAAAAAAAAATTATTGCCAGGTGATTTTTTTTAAAAGAGGATGGAAAATTTTTTCTTTCTATGTATGGAAAAAAAAAGGGGGTGGCTGAAACTATAAAAACTTTTTTTTGCTATCTTGATATCTCACAATGTCCCTTTTAAGTAAAAAATGTTATTCTTGTGTTTAATCGTCTAGATTTTAAATTTTAAAATTAGATTTGGTCTTATTCACAAACCTCATTTGAGGACATCTTGTAACTTAATTTCATTGTATTTTCTTTTTCTTCCCCCCTTTTAGTCTTAACTAAAACCTAGTGTACTGGAGGTTTTAAAAATCAGATAGAATATTTTGAATTTCTTTTATTCATAAGCCCAAATCTCTCTATCTATGTATAAACATATGTAACATAAACTGAAAAATCTTTTGACTAGCCTCTAAAACATTAATATTTATTTCTGAAATAGAGTGGTATGGTAGTTGAGATCGCTCGCTTACCTCAGCCTGGTGTAGCTCTCCCAACTTCTCTTGCTACGACTCAAGTTGCAACTGTTAGCTATCCTGCTCCTCGACTCTTAGCACAGACTACGCAGTACCAAGCTCCTCAACCTCATCCGCACCAATCTGCTGTTGTACAACAGGCTGCTGCAGCTGCAGCAGCAGCGGCTGTGGCACAGCAACATTCAGCACAGCAGCAGCACCAAGCATCACAGCAACAACAGTACAAACATAGAGTATTTACTGGGACAGTGACAAAGTTGCATGAGAATTTTGGTTTTGTGGATGAAGATGTTTTCTTTCAGATCAGGTAAAATATGCATTGAATTATTATACTGTTTTTATGTATAATATGAAATATATGGTAAGATTACAGATGTTTCTTGATTTTATTCATTCTTTACAGAAATGAAAAGTATCTCTTTTGATTGTTTTTCTGTTCAAATAAGAATACTCTTTTAATATTTGACTGACTAAATTCTGGCAATGAAAAGGCCAGGTGTGGTGGTCTCTTTATTATGGAGGCACCTAATAGGTGCACCACCTTTGCCTCCTATGAAGAGACAGACAGTTTTACAGCCATGCCTTCTGCGGGATTCGAACCCGTGCCCTTTAATATTGCAGTCAGGCTTCCCTAATCACTAAACCGTCTGGGCGCCTTGCTACTCTATTATGTGTGGAGCAATTTTACTTACTCTTCTGATAGTTGAAACCTTTTGGTGCTTGACATAAGGTGTTCCATGATTATTACACGGCTAGAAGTAGGAGCACAAGGAGGCAAAAATAGAAAGTGACCCATTGTGATAGTATTTAATTTCTTCTGTGGAAAAAAGAAGTTGTATTGGTTACTCTTCCAGTTTTGGCAGTTGGCCAAAGCAAACACTTTAATCCTGAAGTATCGTGCAAAATTGGCCATAAAGTTTTTGTATCCAAACAAATCTGTGCATAAGATTACAACATCAAAAACAAGAAAATCTATCTTTTTTTTGGAATATAAGTTCTTTTGTCAAATCTAAATTTTCAACGTAATCATATTTTAGCAATTTTATTGTGAATTTGCAAAATTTCAATTCATTTGTTTGTAAATTTCATGACTATTTTGTAATCATTTTAATAATGCTAATATAATATCATTAAAACAAAGATAACATATCTTTATTTTAATTAAGTTAAATTATTTATTTTTTCACCCTGTCTTATTTTATAACCGTTTTCATTTTTATTTTTGAATGTCTTGATTCTGAAATTTATGCAAGATATAAATTTTATAAAACACGTTTTTGAATTATTTTTTGGCAAACGCAAAAAAGTTACTCCAAGTTAAATTAATTTCAGTTGTCTAATTCTCTGTTTTTTTTAATAAGTGTCCCACCCCTATAATTCTTTGAAAATTTATCATTAATTAAGGAAAAATCACAAAAAATGATGATTACTCTAAAAGTTATATATAGAATTTAATGAAACTGACTAACAATATACAACACATAGTAAGGTATAAAATACCATGGTGGTGTGGTGGTGTATTTAATTACGGCAAAGCACACTAGGGCTATCTGCCTAAGGGGAGGGATGCCTTTGTGAAGGACTTTCTAAGGGAAACTGGCTTGTATACATGTTACACTTTTGGAAAACACGAAAACACCCATGCAGCCAGCCCGTTCGCGGGATTCGAACCTCGGACCGAACTACCAGTGTTCAGCGATTTTACCGCTCGGCTGCTGGTGGGCATAAAATAACATGAAAAGAAATTACCAGACACTTATGATCCTACAGAAATCAGCATATGTGTAAAATGAACAAAACCGATCTATCAGGGTTTGGCATAGGAAAATTACCTGAGTATGGAGTATCTTCCTTAGAAGCAATACAACGCATACAACCATGTATGATGCTGTCAGGTATGTAGTCTGTCACCAGAGCTGTGGAGTCGAAATAAGAGTCAGCAGAATTTTGGGTAAAAGAAGTCGGAGCCGACTCCAGTTTTTGTTGGACAAAATTTTTTCAATTTGAAATGAAATTAAAGTCAATTGAGAAACAAATAATGACAAACTGAGTTATTATTATTTATGGACTATATATATTAATAATATTCAGTTATTTTCCATTTGATTGACATATCAATAAATATAAGGGAGAAGGATGGATGTGATATTTTTCATTATTCATTAAACTAATTCATTTAGTTATTTCTTCAGCTCATAGAGGGCATTATTGTAACATAATTCACAACAAGTAAAAGGAGCTTATGGTTGCAAAATGCATCAGATGTTACAAATCTCATTGGTACCCATGCTACAAATCTCATTATTAAATCTAGGCTAGCAGCAAGGAAAAGGAGCAATTATTGACAGCAACATGATGGGCAAGAACATTTTTGATGATAAAGAGATTATTAGAATTAAGAACTTTTTTAGAAAATGTAGATAACCCTAATATATCACTAATAGTAAGACAGTGGAATGATCTTGCAGAATTCCACTGTCCTGTTATATATGTTGTTTCCACCGTCCTGTTCCTGTTTATATAGTCACAAAAAGTTATAATCTGAAGAATTAACAGGAGGTTTGTTTTTGCAAGAATGGAAAAATGTGATGTTTGTTCTTTTTAAAATGGGATGGTTTATTGCAGAAGGAATCATTTCCTCAAAGGAACTAGTTTGCTAGAAGTAATTCCGTTGAGAGAACAGAGAAACTAGTTTGCTAGATAATGAGATCTTGCTGCGTTCAATATATGTAGATCCAAAACACTGAATTTTCTTGGATGACAAACAAATTAAAAAGACAAAGAAAGCCATCTATGAACTTTCACTAAGAATGAAATTATTCTCAGAACAACTGGAGTATTCAAATCAAGACAGCCTCCAGACTTTGCAACTGAATCTATCATCCTCTTCCATTGATGAATTAGATTTGGGGAAATATTTTGATAATATTGAAAAGGCTAAGGCAAAGTGAATGAAAATAAAGAACCAAGAGACTTTAGCTAGGAAAAAAAAAAAAAAAAAAAAAAAACTACAAACAAGATTTCTACACAGCCCTTGAAGAAATATAATTGTTCTTGCAAGACACCTCTTTTAGAACTTGTACAAATCTATCCTGAAAAGTTAAAAGAAGTAGCCCTAACAGTAACAGCTCTTCCTCCTAATGAAGTTAGTGTGGAAAGACTATTCTCAGCTCTGAAGTTTATCAAATCGGACCTATTGTCCTCAAACAAAGAAGATCTTGCGGAAGCTATGCTGTTTCTTAGAATTTACTAATGCCAGTTTTTCCATTTCATAACAGATGTTAATTAATATACGTAATCTGCTATGCCATCAATTTTTTTTTTCCTGTAGCGTTTATTACTTCTTTTGTATTTAAAAAAAATAAGCTGTAACACGTGTATATGTTTACATATATATGAGGGAGTCCGAGTCATAGTCTGTAAAATTCCAGGAGACAGAGTCTGTCATTTTTCCTACTGACTCCACAGTCCTGTCTGTCACTTCCGTAGGAATCCACTGCTATTCCAAAGCAGTTGCAAGCATGGCGAAGGTGTGCAGAGGAGGATTGAGAGCAACTATGCCTTTTCTTAAAGCATCCCAACCAAGGCTTCAGGTCTGGTGATTGAGCTGGCCATTCCATGCACTGAATTATTTGCTGCTGAGGACAATCATCAACAATATTAGCCCTGTGCGATCTAGTGTTGTCGTCCTCTAGCAGGGAATTATTACCTATTGTCCTGACATAAGGGTGCACAGAAGCGTCAAGGATGTTATCTCTGCAGGCCTGAGTATTCTTGGTTCCACGTAAAAAGATACCCAAAGAGATACCATCCCAAACAGATATTGCCTCCTCTGTATGCATCTTTTTCATATATGTTTGATAGATGATAATGGGTTCTATGTTCTCTCCAAATCACCAACCTTCCAGTGGCTGCGGCGAAGGAAAATCTAGTTGAGGGTCTATTCCTTCATATGCGCATAACAACAAATATCGGTCATCAGCCCTCATCATAGCAGTTGGCCATCCTTGGCTGAACCTTGTGGATGCCGAATTTGTGTTTAGAAATTGTTGCCTATGATCCACAGAAGGACTCGCATTTAGCCATCAGGTCACTTCTATTTGATTTTGTCCTGCCTCTAGTCTCCCAGTAGCTCCCCATCACAGTTCGTAAGGCAAATGATGCCTGGAGGTCATTGTTACAGATTGGCTATCTCAGATTTCTTATATCAGTATTACAGCGAAATGTGCAGGCTTGCTGTGAAACATGCAATTTTATGCTCCTCACAGATGACGCATTTTGATTGCAGCACCACTAATTCTCATAATGCAGTTTTACTTGGTAATACTTGTTTGACAACATATTCAAATTTTATATGAATTGGTGATACTTTTCTGTTTTGCCGGCACAAATCTCGCCAAGCAGACTTTGTTGGCGACAGCATACAATATACACATAAAAAATGTTAACAAATGTTAGTTCTAAGAATTTTTTATTTTTGAAGGCATAAACATTTTAATATGGTTTAAAATTTTGTTAAAAGCCAATAAATAAAGACAATAAATTTGTAAAAAGACATTAATTTAAGAATTTACTATGCTTTAATGTTCAACATCCTGATTTGCCGGTTCATATCACGTGACCCCAAGTGATCTCATCTCACGTAAACTACTCTACAAACTTCTAATTCTCTCAGTAATTATCTACATTATCTACATTAATTTCAAGTTAAATCTTAATTTGGAATACAAGTTTAAATGCGAGAATTATTTCAATTTGTACGAATAGCTTGCTCAGAAATTATGTAAAACCTCATATTCTAACAGATGAATTTAACCCTTAATTTTGCCTTTTCTATATTTTTGCCTACGGGTGAGCGGTGTGATTGCATCCTAATTGACTTAATTATCACGAATGGTCTTAGGGCATAAAATTTGACTATATTGTAAACATTCTTTGTAATTGTATGCCAGTATTGAAAGAAACAATCAATCTGATAAGAAAAGGCTGCAACTTGTTTTGAAAATGAATCGTAAAAGGTTACCAGCGAGGATATTCTGTTTGGCATCAGTTGTACCATTATTGGCGACTTTATTGTTTGCGCCGGAAAAACGGAAAAGTACCGAATTGGCTTATTTTTGAACAGGTTATTGTGATTTTTTTCTTAGTTTTTGGCTATTTGCATTTAGCTATGTATCAGTTTCCTCGTTAAAATTCACTTTGCACTTTTTTCAGAATTTTTTTCAAAAGTACTGATTTTTATTCTTGCAAAGTTAGCATCTGATAAATGCAAACCTGCTAACTTTGCAAGAATGAAACTTATGTTTGAATTTGACTTATGTTTGAAGAAAGTGAAAACTTTAGTAATTAACTGTAATTTCAGTGACTATGCTCCCATGATAGAGTTAAACATTCTGATTAAGTATTTATATGATATTCATAAAACTTTTGTTCAAGAAAGAAGTTTGCATTTTGTGCTTGATTATTTTTTATTTCATACTTTTAGTGCTGTAAAAGGCAATGTACCAAAAGCTGGGGAAAGAGTCCTTGTTGAAGCTACATACAATCCTAACATGCCTTTCAAATGGAATGCTACTAGAATCCAAGTTCTTCCTAATCAAGTAGTGCAGGTTAGTTTTTTTGTTTCTGTTTTGTTTTGTTATATAGACACTGCATGCTAAAAAAGGTGATTATATCTGATGCTTGTCAAAATTATTTTGACATCAGGCTTTCCAAACTGTGTCATATATGGGTGTATAATCCAAAATAATTTCTACTTTTATTGAGTGTCCAGTATAAAAGAACTGTTAAAATTTTCCACTTTCATGTGTGCCCTGTCTATACCTTTAGTTCCACCACTGAGATTTTGCAGGTGGAACAAAGGCAGTGATATTACTAATATTGATAAGCAGAGGATAAATGGTAAGTCAGAGTAGAGATATAGTGGCGAATTTCTACCAAAAAAGAATTTGAGAGAATTTTAAGCACATTCGTACTGTTGTAAAGATGTTCATATCTGTTTTGATATGACCCTCCCAGATGAAAATATGCATAGTGAACCCAATAACATTTCATGAACAAATTCATGGTATGAATAGTCATTTGCAATGTAACTTTTTCGTGAGTTTGAGAACACCTGTTATTAAGCAGATCACTCTAATCCATTAAAGTACCTTTTTTGGAGCAGGGGGAGGGTAGCCAAGTCTGTGGGATTATGGCATTTAATTTGGACTAAATATTTACACATACACATATTAATGTTTTGAAAATACATGTGTGTGCTTAAGAATTAATGAAAATGAAGGATTAAAATATTAAGTTTGGAAATTCTAATCATTAAGTAGTACTACAGGTGTTATAGTGAGTTTTTTATAACAGTCGCAATCCACCAGTAGCTGAGCAGTAAGACCATCGAATACTGGTAATTCATCTTGGGTTTAGATCTCAGTAATGAGTTGGATGCATGTGAGTTTTTGTAATTTTCCTGTATGTAATGTAAATATAAACCAGTTTTCCTTGAAAAATCCTCCCTGAAGTCATCCTTACTATGAGATAGTGTTTTTATGCTTTGGCATAATTTAATAAATCCAATACAACAGTTGCAAAAAGGTAGAATGCTGCACAATTTGAGATGTCAATATATTTTCCAGCATTGGCATTTTCGTGGTTTTCCCCATATGTAACTGTATATAAGTCAGTTTTCCTTTGAAAGTGTTCCATGCCAATACAACAATTGCAAAAAGGTAGAATGCTGCAGAATTCAAGATATCAATAAAATAATACTGCTATTTTGCAGTTTTTTTTTTTTTTTTTTTTTTTTTTGTTGGTGGGGGGTGATGAAAAGTTCAACTGTAAGACATCAAATCTCTGAAAACTGGTAGTTTGGTCAGAGGTTCAAATCCCACAAACGGGTTGACTGTATTTTCATTCACATTTTTTTGCCCATATGTAACGTGTATATGAGTCAGTTTCCTTTAGGAAGTGTTTCATGAAGGCATTTCTAAGTGGGTAGCCCTCAAATTGCATTGTCATAATTAAGTATACCATACCAAGCCATTTCTAACATACATAGTAGCAGTATTATAATTTTTACTCTAGCCGGAAAGATAGTTCTATATATATAGTGATGTTATGTTATTAACCACTTCATTATAATCATGTTATATTAGATTTACTGTATGCATTTCTGTATGCCCCCCTTTCCTACTAATTTTACTGCTTGAAAACTAGGAGTACAAAAATATGTAATGTATACTATTTCTGAAGAGAAAACACATTAGAAAGCACGCATAAATACATCGTAGTATTATTATATTATGTATTTTAAAAGACTTCTCATTTTTAGTCATTTTCTTTTTACTTGCACAAAATGCTTTCATGTTTGTGCATACATTTACATTGTTACCATAAATCAAAAGTTTCTGACCCTAGAGGGGAAAGTATACAAGGAAGAGATGAGTAACTATAGTATTTAAGAAATAACCTTATTTTCAAAAACTGTAAAAGTAACAGTTTAAAATATTGAATTTTTTCATATGTAAATGTATAGATTTATTATGGTTTTTTATTGCACAGATTAAATTGCTGTTCTTTCTCCACCCCATTGTAGTTAAATATGCAACAAGCTAACAATGGCCATCCTACTTTACAGCAAGCACCAATAGCTGCTGTTGTTGCTTCACCTGTATCTGTAGGAATAAATGTATCTCAAGGTGTAAATATGAATGCAGCCATTGCGAATATGGCAAATAATCAGAATGCTTTTTCAAATATTGCTCAAGCTGGACGGTGGCAAGTACAACAGGAAATGGCAGTTATGGAAACATTAGGTATGAATTTGATATTATTTTACCTAAATCATTAAATGACTGTGATAATTTCACTTTCTTCATGTTCATGAAGATAACTGTGGTTATGAGTGTTCATTTTCAGCTTTTACTATATACAGTACAAAGTCCATAATCCAGATGTCCATTACCTGGAATGATCTATAATCCCGACCTTACAGCCACAAACTTTACACAATGCGCGTAGAGAATGTGCATACATTACGTATGCACGCATTGAAAGAAATGATTAATAAAGTAAACACATAAATATTAAGCTTTTTTTTTTGTAAAATTTGACACCCTTTAGATCATAATTGCTCTTTATTTCATAAATTACGGTTTCATATTTTTAATTGCATAATTTCTGCATGCCATCTTACCAGATTTAAATTGATGATCTAGAATCTGGAAAAATCCCTAATCCGGAATCGCCGAAGTCCCGACGAGTCCAGATTACGGACTTTGTACTGTATACAGTGTTTGTATGGTCTTTAAAAGTTCTCTGTTTCAGTCAAGATTTGCAGATGGTTCTTAATTTTTAGTTGACATTTTCATTTTCTTTTGTGTGACTGTTATTCTTTGTGTAAATTAACATTTCAGATGAATATAGAATTATTTGTCTTGTAATGGAATGTATGTGTAATCTGTAATCGCAGATTGGTACTGTAAACAACAACGAAAAATCATCTACCTAAAACAACAATTTTGGTAAATCTGGTTGTTCGCCCAATCTATCAAAATAGATATTATCAACAAGAATACTGTCTTTAATGAAAATAGTTCTTGATCTTTGATCTTACAACCTACTCTGTCACAAACTTGACCTTCTGAAAAGTTGAAGGTTGGATTTCATGCAGGCTATGCTTTAAGTACTGTTATCAGTGAAGTCATAAATTCTTTAAGTATATGAACAAAAGGAATATAGCTCTTAAAAAGAGGAAGAGTAGTTTGAAGAAAATCTGCTATTATCAGAAGTCTCTGAATCTTAAGAGCGTGACATATTTCTGTGAAGAATTCAGCTGCTCTTGTTCCAGAACTGTTAGGAACAGATCTGGAAAAAGAACATCTAGAATATTTCCTTGGGAGAAAAAAATGAGGAGTCAAATTAAAAAAATAAATAAATAAATGTTTACTGTGGTGATGGCTATTGAGGTAATTTTTCTCTCAGATTGTAGATTCCAGTAAAATTTATAGACAATTAGATTAATTCTGCTTGTAAATTTTCTGAATACTGCCATAGTTTTTAAATCTTACATACAATATTGCTTTTTTAATGCATTGTGCAATTTGTTTTGCAAAATGACTAAAAATTCTGGTAGTTTGTAAATTTTTTCACTAGATTTGTGTGTAAAGTGCAGAAATTCAGCTTTATTTTCTTTATTTCACCCAAAACAACCTTTTTATCTGTCTGTGATATTAATTCATTTGTGTATATTATGCCAGGTTTTGGGATTTTTATTTTGGCGATTTAAAAATCAGTTATGTTTTGATTTGGTGATTTGTGGATTTCGTGGGATTTTTGGAATATATGTGGTCATTGCTGACCAAAATGCAAAAATTACAGCGACTTTTCTATGCTGTGCATTAGGATGTCCAGGAATTCTGTGTTAACAAAATTTATTCATGATTAAAGACTTGAAGATCCAGGAGAATGCTAGGTAGGGGCTGCAGTGATGCAAGTTTGGCATCATTGCAGCTCCTACGTAGCATTTCAGGTTTTTCACATTATTCTTGTCCAAGAGACTAAATTCCAGCTAGGGAGAGTTCCCAAGCTTGCAAATTACAATTTTTATCATATTGATAGACAAATTGTCAGTCTCTATGAGTTGTGTTACGGGTACATTCCATATGTGTTGTTATCAATCTTAAATCTGGAAAATATGTAGAGCATGCAGAGAGTGTAATAGGCACAAGTATTCTTTAGGAAGAAGTTATTACCAACTGTGCTTCTAAACAGTGTGACATAAAGATCAGGAAACTTATCTCTGTATCTTTCAGCATTCATAATTGCACTAATAAAAATGGTTAGATCAGTGCTGCCATTCAGAATGATGGCCTGTACTATTATTCCATTACCTTTAATGATGCCTTTCATGGTTGTTTTCTTTTCAGGCTTTATTGCATATATTATATCCCAACCAGATTGTAATACATCTGAAACTACTCTCATAACAAAGATGAAGATGAATAAAACAGGGCTTCAGTTTCTGGTATTCCACACTTGATGATCTCCACGTTATTGTAGTTGGGTGCATTTCACAGCCCAAGTTTAGTGGAACATGAAACATGAATATCCTTACATACAGCCCTCTTAAATGCAGTTTAATACTCTTGGTTTATCTGCATAGTCATGTTCCTGTAACTGGAGCAAACTCTCTTGCAGTCTGGGCTGACATTATTTGTCTATTTCTTTCAAAAATCATTGTCAAATAATGGTCATAAATGGCTGATCTTGTGTGCTATGTTTTCGACTTTGATCTGTTTGTTTGCATACAATGCCAGTATTTCAGACCATTTCTTCAAAGGGTTAAAGTAAAATTGCAAGAGAGAATTCAGTTGCATGGATGATTGCTTACATTTATTCAGTTCTTTTTGCTGATAGATCCTCAAATTTTTTTCATTGATGGCATTTAAAAAGCCTTAATTTCCATTTAAAGAAATGTATACAAATCCTGTTCATGATAGTACATAAAAACAATTTTAGTTAGCTTCAAAGTATTAAAAAGCAGGCTGCTAAAACATTATTTAAAATGTTAAGTTATTTAAATCTTAAATGTTGCTTAAGTTATGGTTTAGGTTAATGTGATTTAATGTTGTGTATTAACTGCTTATGAATTAGTTTCCAGATAATTGCAGATATTAACACTGCAAATGTAGAGAATAATACAACTTAGTTTTCTTATAAATTCAGTGTGACTTTTAAAATAATTTTTATTAATTGTGTATTTTTATATTTTTTATAAATCTTGAAAAATATGCAAAATTTGACCAAATGGCATATTGTTAAAATTTTAAATTACTTGATTTCATTTACGGAGGGTAATTTGTTCCTTTTGATTTTTAAGATGTTAGTTGTCAACCAATGTTACCTTTTATAGAAAACATTTGGTTTAATATTTAACTGCAAATGTGAAGTAAAATACTCTTTTTCATAGAAATGTTTGTTTGATCATTGTGAAGATATTGGAGCTGTTACAGAGTTTCTTAAACTGTGGGTTGCGATCCCCATGGGGGCTACGGGACCTGCAGCCAGGGGTTCACCAAAAATTTTAGCAATTTTGATGTTTCTTGAACTTATTATAATAATTTTACAATTACCAAATATTTTTACACAATGTATCTGAAAATAGATAAAGATAAGACAATACAGACAAAGAAAAAACAAAAACGTTTCGATGCATTTTTTTTTTTTTTTTAAATAATATAAACTTTACTTGCCTTTGCACGTTACGCTGTCATTTCATCTGTTACTTATTTGAAATTTTCACATTGTTCTATGTCTTAAAATTAGAAATTAATGACCTAAAGCAGCAGCAGTATATTACAGTACAAGTGAAAAAATCGACGGTGTGTCAGATTTACCTCATGCTTATGGGGTCCCACAAAATTTTCGTAAATATTATGAGGTTCTGGGGTCAGGAAAAAGTCTCTGTAATAAAAAGGGGTCAAGACTGAAAAAAGTTTAAGAAGCCCTGAGCTGTTATACACATGTGCCTAACATATCTGTGACTTTTGTTTTCGTATGTTGTAGTACTATAATAGCAATTCATTTTAAATTTGTACAGAATGAACACACTGTTATTCACCTCTTTTGATCAGTATTAACAGGTTGGTGGGCTGCCCATTACGGTCGACTCAGGCAAACTCAGAGAGGTTCGCAAAAGGGGTCTCTGTGTTTGATCACTAACTCGGTGTAACAGGATGTTGATTTTCGAATACGTGAGAAATCTGAAAGTGACAGTGGAATAACAGGGTACAGTTTGCAGGATTGCAGATTTCTTGAAACAGGGAATAATCCACACACACACACACACACACACACACACACACAAAAAAAAAAAAAAAAAAAAAAAAAAAAAGTAAAATAAAATAAATAAATAAATGAGTTCGACAGAAACAACACCTGTGCTGCAAGCCGTAGTTGAAGGTCTAAGTATACTTTATCGCTGTGTTATGATCGCTCGTGTAGTGAGTTCTTGAAAAGCTGTGTTTCTCCATCATGTGACTAATTTCCGTTCTCAGCGAAGTCCATGAGACGCTGAGTGGCTCTAAACCCTGCTTTTAGTTTTTCAGCTGGAGTTTTAGCTTTCTGAATTTTTTTTTATTAAATTGATGATAGTTTCGAGGAGTTTCTGTATGCTTTCATCAAAGATCCATGTCATGGCGTCATTCATCATCTTAGGAATACTTCTGTGAGAGGATTTGAGCTTTTCACTGTAGCTTGGCTTTGAAGGAACTTCTTTCGTGTTTTTAAGTGCAGGAAAATAGATTTTTGATTTTTCCAGAGCTGGAGGTGGTGGTGCCTTCCTATATTAAAATCTTTCTTTATAAACCTTACACCTGCGATAAGACAGCCCATTATGGTCAGACCCTTAACATATGCCAGTGTCACTTGTATACAGATCTTAATAACCATGATTAAACCTGATAATGTAATCTTAATTTTTTCATACAACAGTTATTATAGAAAGCAAGTTAATAATATGGTATTTTAATTATACATTAGGAACATCAGACAGAAGTGTCATATACTTAATGCTAGCAGAACAGGCATGTATGCCAGGCGATGAATGTTGGCAGATTGAAATCGTTCACATGTTGCTCTCTGATAATTGCTGGCCATGTGACGTCATGTTTTCATGAAGCTAGATGATATTCACTGGCTTTCCAAGTCTTGTATATATGATTGCAGCTGATAATCACTGGTCGAATGATGTCATGTTTATGTGGCACTGATAAATAATTCCTGGAAATCACATTATTAAGATGCCAGCTGAAATCAGTGGCTTCTAGAACTATGCATATGTCCTTGTAGCTGGTATTGGTTGAATTATGTCATTGTTTCTGTGATACTGACAGATAACTGCTGGGGGAATAGTTACATAGAACACGAACCATTAACATGATGCCAGTTGTTATCACTGGTTTGTAAAATCATTTATGTGACATTACATGATGCCAGCTGATAAGCACTGGCTTGAAGAATCATTTATGGATGATAATGGCCAATAACTGATGGCTATGTAAAGTCACATTTGTGTGATGCTGGCTGATGAAGTCACATGCTTATAACAGCAGCTGCCTGCATTGTATAATTTATGTTTATCTGTTAAGGAACAGCTGGGAAAATTCTGTTGCATTACTTAACTACCATCAAATTTAGAAAACTCTGAGAAACTCTAGAATAAGCATTTTTTAGATATCATACTATTTTTCTGTTACATTAAGTGTGTTAATTGAAACATGTCATATATAAGTTCTGCTCGTGATCACTATTGTTGAAAAAAATCTGTGTCATTACATATTTAAATGTTCAGTTATATTCCATATATTATGAAATCATAATTTTCATAACAAGATTATATTTATTAATATCAACATCAGTATTACAAAAATTACAATAAAATATAATACAAACAGGACACTGACAAATCAAAGAAAGTATCATAATCGTAAAAACTTTTGGGTATCACATTTCAGTGAAAATATCCATTTTGATCACTCTCTCTAATCCATGTGAACAATGCTTTTGCATGACATCTGTATGTACAGATAAAGTAAAGAACTATTTGCCAAAAGAGATTGCAAAATGGATTCAGAAGAGATTTTTTTCTTGATGTTTGTATGTATGTATCTCGCATAACTTTAAAACGAGTAGCTGTAGAATGTTGAAATTTTATGTATGGGACTGCTATAACATGTAGTTGTATACCTCCCTTTTATGTTGCAATGGCTGCACCAAACATATATATATTATTCCCACTCTATAACACTGTTCAGTGAACTAGTTTTTTTTTGGTTCTTATATGTTAGTAAATTGTGTATTTTTTTTTACTTTAAAAGTGATTGAATTATGTTGTTCTTTTGTTCTACTTAAGATTTTTATGCATTTAGTTAATCTGCATGGAATTATCTACAATTTCAAACTTTAAGTGGTGTGTTAAACCTATTGAGGCCACCATTTGTTTACATTTGAAATTCTTGGTAAAATGGTAATTTAAGTCTGTTGGTACAGCTACTTCAGTGTCTATTTGTAAAGTGGTATGAAATGTTAAACTTTCAGTTTTGTGCACCGAATATTTTGCCTTCCTGCCCGCTGCCTGAATTGCTTTTTGCTCAGAAACTCTAATTTTGTTTGCAAAAATTATTTTTAAACTGTATTTGGTGTTTTAGGATTTTTCTTATTTGACAGTTTTTAATGAAGATGCTTTGAATTTAGTATTTTTGCCTTGCCACAAAGTGAGAACTGAATTGATTGAATAAGAAATATATTTCTAATGAAATTTGAGGAAATGTATTTAAATGAGGTGCAGCAAAAAATATGTATAATTTACTAGGCTGTACATGGTAGTCATGTGGTGTTCACCTTAGATATTTTATGAAAGCCTCAATGCACGTATGTTTCTTGTTATTCCCATGATTATAAACTTTTGAAAACAGTAGCTTATACATGGCTGTTAAGTCATATAAAGGACTGCTACTTTTTGCGATTATTATTTGATTTTTATAGTATGTAAAGCATTTTTGTGATTCATTGATTATCTACTGTGGAACTTGTATTTTTTTCTTCAATTTTTTATTTTATCACTGTTCATAAGCCTGATTTTAGGACAGCTTATTTTATATTCGAAACTGAAATTTATTGTTAAAAAAATAAATATTTGAAATTGGCAGTTTATACGTTCAGTTTTGAAAATTCATAACTGTTATTAACATTATATTTTGAAAGAATAAAATTAGTATTATCAAATTTTATTTCAGACCTTATGTATATAAAATGCTTTTGATATGTATTTAATTTCTGATTTTTAAAATTGTTTTAGTTTTTAAAAAGAGCAGTTTATGGGTCCAAAGATAAATTCAAGACCATTTCTTTCTGTAGTTTTTTTCTCTTATAAATGCATAAATTGCCAATTTTTTATTATATATAATTGTTTAAATATAAAATTTGCACTGCATCTATCTTCTAAGTATGTAAATTCATATTCCGAATATGCCGTAAGTTCTAAGTTTTTATGCTTAAAAATACTGCAGTGGGAACAAAAAAAAAAAAAAAAAAATTCCATAAATATAGTGAATAATATTGTAATCAAAAATTCCATTCCCCCCTTCCCGTAGCCTCTTTTTTTTTTTTTAAATTCAGAAAATTTGCCACTTTGAAACATACTTTATATTTGTAATAATTATATATGTACACTCTTCGCACACAAAAGAAATGGGACAGTTATATACCTCTTGTTCCACTGGGCTGATTGATGAAATTTATCTTGTGCTTTTCATACCTCAAAACTGCAGCTTAGGATATACATTAAATTTATATATAGTATTATTCTAATGTAGGTGTTTTGACACACAAATCAGACTTTTTCTGGCTTGACATAGCCTATTTTTTCCCATTTTGATTTTGACCAATTCTGTGACTAAAATTGTGAACTTACCCTTAAAAAAGTATCCAAGTTAAGTTATGTTGCTGTTCATTTTATGTAGTTTTTAATTTTATGTTTGGAAATATATATTTGCTAATCTTCAAAAAATTCTATCGTGTTTATTGCTAACCTTTTAACTTCAACTTTCTAAAATTTATTTGTAATAGTAACAAATGTGCCCATGCTGTTAACTTTCTTATATATGAAAAAGCATCTGTTTTATTTCTCTAAATCTATTTCTTGAATATACTTAAAGATTCTTTATACTGTAGGGCAGCAAAGAATTAATATGCAGCATAACAATCAGCATCCTTGGATTCAGGAAATAGAATACGGGGAAATAATTGACAAAGGTGAGTAAGAATGTAAGATAAATATTCTGATTTTACTTAAAATCCTTTTTTCTTTGTTTCTGATTATAGTAGTATTTTAATTTTATATTTTTATTGTAATAGTTGTATATAGTATAGTACAGCACACTTTTACCCCTAAACTTCGACTTTAGTAGTTTATTGTAGGAAATCATATGAGCACAATGCTTTAGGTTAATTTTAAAGAAAATGTAGCTCTTAATTTCCAGTGTTCAGTTTTTTGCATTCCCCTGATATTAATATTTGTCTTTAATTTATTTTGTGTTATACTGCAATATAGTGAAAGTTTACTTCCTTCTGGATAATCATCTTTTGTCTGAGCATGTATTTTTCATCAACATTCGTAGAATTTTCTGTATAATTTATGTATGTTTTCAACACAGATGTAATTAAGTGTATTTTCTGCATTATATATATATATATATATATATATATATATATATGTAATGAATCATAATCAGTATTTTGCAGTCCTATGAACTTTTCCAGTGTTTCTTGAAAAAATTAGGACATTCCTTCAGTGACTTTACAGAAAAATGAGCTTGAAGATTTTTAAATTTCAACAGAATTTTTTATTTGAATTTATTATTAAAAATGATATCTACAAGATTTTTTATTTTAAAACATTATTTATATCAATTTTTATGATTTGTTTTCCACTATTGCATTTCCCTTGTTTTGCTAACTCTCTAATGCTTGTTTCTGAAAAGGCTTTTCTTTCGCCAAGCCTTTTTCTCTTTGAAGGGGGCATATGTAAGATAAAAATATGTGAATCAAAATTATAATTTAAACTAACGGCAAAACTTTAATTCTTTCTCTCTGTGCTAAAAATCGTAATAACTTCTCTGGATTGCATCATTTCTAAATCATTCTATTTTGCATGGCCTGCACAGTGCTGATGATGTAATAATTGGAAACTGAAACCAAAACTTTTCTCTTTGTAGGCTTCCATTTTGCATAACTATGCACTTCAGCTTCGCTCTCTATCCTGCTAGGATGTAATTTCACTGGTCTTGCTTCTTATGACATTAATATCACCACAAACGGAAATAAAAATTGAATTAAAACTGCCTCGACTGCCAAGTTTCTTAGGTATTATGAACTCAACGTATTAATATACTACACAATCAGAATTCTTTCTCTTCAATATGGATCTACGATCTATCCTATATAGCTGTTATGCATCAACACGGCTCCGTCTTTTCCTTGCTGTTATTATACACACACACATATATAAAGAAATATATAAATAGGCCAAAAATTAGAATTAAAAAATTAGAATATATTTTTTTAAACCCGTCCTGCATCATAGCTGCAGGATTGCAGTAGCATAAAGCATCTAAATTAATTATTAAATTGGAATAAAAGCAAGGCAATTCCTCTATAATATAAGCTCTGAAATATAAGTTCTGATCCTCTATAATATAAGTTCTGATGAGTTCTGAATTGGAGTTTCAATGAAAGAAGATTAATTTTTATTTGTATAAATTTTGTATAGTTTCCCTTTCGCATTTTTATTTTTCGACATTGTTCTACTATGAATTCTCTCTTTAATTGGATTAGTTTGATATTGTGTTAAACCTCTTATACGTCTGTGCAATATTATATTATAGAGGAATTGCCTTGCTTTTATTCCAATTTATTAATTAATTAGTTACTTTAAATTATATATATATATATAACTATAAATTTCATAATTACCTTAGTGTGTACATAATTATGCATATTGCCATACAGATAATATGTATAATTTATATTTCAGTAATTTTTTAAATCAACTATCCTAGAATTTATATTTTATCGCTTGTGAGTTTTGATAAAGTATTTTGTTTAGAATTAGTAATTTTTTTAAAATAAAATTTTGCCCTATACCAGGGTTTCTTAAATTGTGAGTCGCGACCCGCCAAGGGGGTCTCAGGAACTGCAACAGGGCAGTTGCCTAAAATTTTAGCAGTTTTGATATTTCTTAATTATAGTAATTTTATAGTTACCAAATATGTTTACACAATGTATCTGAAAATAGATAACGATAAGACAATACAGATAAAGAAAAAAACGAAAACGTTTTGATGTATTCTTTTTATAATATAAACGTTCATTTTGTTTGCTGTACACGTGATGAAAAAAAACGAAAACGTTTCGATGCATTCTTTTTATAATATAAATGTTCATTTTCTTTGCTGTACACGTGATGCTGTCATTTCGTCTGTTACGTATTTGAAATTTTCACATTGTTCTGTCTTAAAATTAGAAATTATAGTTAATGACCTAAAACTGCTATAGTAATATTACAGTACAAGTGAAAAAATTGACAATTTCACTCATGAGTATATCAGATTTGCACAATACTTATGGGGTCCCACAAATTTTTTTAATGTTATGGGGTCCTGGGGGTCGCGAAAAAAATCTGAATTATAAAAGGGGGTCGCGACTGAAAAAAGTTTAAGAAACCCTGCCCTAAACAATTACATATTCCCCTTGTACAGTATGAATAATAGCCAATTTTCCTTTGAAATTCTTCCAGTTAGGCATCTCCTATAAAACAGACAATAGTTATATTTTGTCAGAATAAATAACCTAACTTTTACCATTTAGTGAATATTTTCCATTTTTTGAGTTCTCAATTTAAGCATGCAAGATATTAGCACCTTCATTTTATATTTCAATTATAATTTAATTTTATGTTTACTTCAGTTGGGAACTGTTTAAAAATAAAATTGGAATTATTTACTTTTGAATGGAGAATTTATAAACTGATATAATTTCATGTAGATGTCTGAAGCTTTAGCTTAAGTTTCTCTATGGAAACTTCCTAATTGTTTTGTATTTTTTAGGTCAAAGGATGTCAAACATGACACGCCGACATAATTCACCACCTCTTACTAGGCGTGAAAGAGAACGTGAAAGGGAAGCAAGAAGAGATGAAAGACGAGAAAGATATAGGGAGCGAGAGCGGTATTCTCCTCCTACTAGGAAACGTTCTCGTTCTCCACGGAGGGCTAGTCGAAGTCCCCCTAGAAGACGAACTCGTGTAGTTCCTAGATACACTGTACAAATACCAAAAATTTCATTAGACCTGTAAGTTAATATTTTAAATAATTTTTCCTTTGTAGATTGAGATACACTGCGCCAAAAAAGGGGGGGGACAGTTCTATATCTCCTGTTCTACTGGGGCGATTGATGAAATTCAACCGCGACCTGAGATATGTATTAGATTTATACTATATAGCATTGTAATATAGGTATTTTGACTAGGACTTTTTCTGAGATGACATGCGAATATTTTTTCATATTTCGATCCTATAGTTTGGCAAAGTTCGCACAACTAGTTTTTAAAAAATTAGCTCTCAAAATTTTAGCTCCTCAGTGTTAATTGAATTTCATATATATTTATTAATACCTCTTTTTTTATTAAACTTATTTAATTCTTCTTTTCACATTTCGAAATTTAGGTTCATTCCAAATAAAATTTTTTATGTTTTTGTTTTAAATTTATATTTTTACTTTTTCAAAAAAAATTTTGAATTATAACCTATAAAAGTTTTGCTTTCATCTTAAAAAAGATGCATTTTTAAGCACACCTGCAAAAAAAAATAGAGTTTTTTATTCAAAATTTTCTAAGATATATGCGCATTTACATTTTGGCGCATTTTGAAATTCGCTGTATTTAATAATGAAAGTGTGGTTTACGCACTTTGTTAAAATTATCTTAAAGTATGAATGATGACTTTTCCTCTACTCGTGGAGAATGAAAAAGGGAAGAAAAATAGGCTGCTATAAATTAAGAAGTTCCCCTAGTGAATTATTCTTTGCTCAGACTGGGGAAAAAAAAAAAAAAATGTGCCAAGATAAATTTTTAAATTCCTCAATAAATTTCTCATCAAGAATTACAAAATTAAATATCTGGGCATAATATGAGTTGTAAAATCAAAATATGGAAAAAAATTGATATGTTATTTCAGAAAAAGTCCGATTATGTGTCAAAATACCTATGTTAGCAATGCTATATAAAAATCTAATATGTATCCTAAGTCTTGCTTTAGAGACATGGAAAACGCAATTTGAGTTTCGTGAGTCAGCCCACTAGAACAGGAGATGTAGAACTGTCCCTCCTCCCCCTGCAGTGTACAATCCATTAAACATTTCATATTTATCTTTCAATTCAACGTGTTTATTTTTACAAATTAATTTTTATGTAATTTTTTCTCGGATAAAGTAATTTGTAATTTTAACTAAAATGCAGATTTTAAAAGTTTTCAGTGTTTTAAAAAATTAATGTATTAATGAATGGTCAGCAGTTTAAGGGCATTAAATAAGGTAAGTTTCTTCAGATGCATATTAAATTATATCTTTTTCTGTTTCACAAGGAATTTAAATGAGTATGATGTGTAAAAGATGTATACACTCTTTTGCAAAAAATTCGAAGCACCAAGAAGGACTTTTGCGATTGTGATGAAATTTAATATGCAAAAACATCTTGATCGAACATGCACATGATCAAAGTTTCAAGGCAAATAGACATGAATTGCGATCATAGCGGGCATTTCTAGTCCACAATCACAAAGTATAAGACCAGTAACAGAGGCGGAAAATTTAGCTGTTTTTGTTGCTGCCGTTGTAATTCCGTAAAGAAGCAACTAAAGATGCCATTACGATGATATCGAAGACCTTACGGACAACTAAACAACATCGAACATGGTCGCATTGTAGGGTTGCATGAAGCTGAGTGGTCGTACCGAGCAGTAGGCTGCACCTGTAGCCCACAGACACTGCTGCAAAGACGTTGACAGCAATGGTTGCTAAAAGGAAATTGCCAATGGAATGGAGGCTCTGGAAGGCCAAAGAGCACAAATGCGAGGCAAGATAGGATGATTGTTCACCAGGCCCGAACCACTCTAACAGTATCATTGTCAACTATTCAACGCACTACAGCCACGTTTATACCTCCCTGGTCCACCATCTCGCGGCACGTCTGAGGCAGGGTTACGTTCTCAGAGGCCTTTAACCCTTTCCGACACACTACCTTTTAAAGTTTGAATTTTGATAAAAAAAAAAAAAAAAAGGTAGACAGTTTAATTAGGCCTAAAGGAGTACACAAGTAAAATTTTGTAAAGATAGCACTTATCATTTTAATTCTGTGGGTGTGCCCGAAGCGGGCGCACTGATTGAATAGAGCTTTGAAAAGAGTGCTGAAACGAGCATTGCTGGAAAGCGCATAAAAGAGTATGAGATTTTGCCTATGATTAAAAACACTATTTTAAATACCATAGCAAATTTAGCATTACCCAGGGTGTGCCACGGGAGATCTGCTACTCTACACCCCCCTAAAAAGCTCATTTTGGGTTGTATGATGATTACATTCTTATGAATGGAAAAAAAAAGTAACTTGGGAATATGATAGTTATAATGTTTACATTTCATATTTACACTTTAGTCTATTTTTTTTTTCATCGTGGTACTTTTCGAAGAAAATGACACCACCTTTGAAAAAGCAAAAGCCAATATTGCATGATTTGCACATGTGCCGAGATCCATATCAGATTCACTATCTGAAAGCAATTAGTCTAGCACTTTGAGTGCTTTAGAAATGGTCAGCCCTCTCCGACCCATTTGGAAAATAATTAAAAATCTGAAAAAATAAATTAATATGTTTACAATTTGAAATTATAAAATAAAAATATAAATGTCTACAACTCAAAACTATTAAACGTAGCACTAAGGAAACTTCTTTGAACCAAAGCGAAAGAGGAAAAGAGAACTGCTGTAGTGAAAAACCAAACAGCTAACTGATAAAATTATCCCTGGCCTTCAGAAAATCACCCCAACAATTTCTTAATTGATAACCAAACCCTCTCCTCCCCCCAAAAAGGTGGGGGGGGGGAGAAGAAAGAGAAAAACAGGAAATGAAACACAGATGTGGACCCACCTTTCTATGTTAATGAGCTGACCGATGAGCTGCAGAGAAACAGAGATACAGCTGCCTCTTAGTGACCTAGACTCGCAGTGAGCCCAGTCTGGGAATACCTCAGGTCGTCGTTCGATTTTAAGCAATATTTCAAGGTAAAAATTTAAAACTAATATAGAATAAGGAGATTAGCATACAGCCAAAAACATAACATAGAAATTTCCTTTCAAACAATTCCTTTTATACTATTTATTTAAATGAGGGTCTTAAAAAACTAAACATGGCTAAAATATATGGACTGTTGAGCTGCCATCTACTATAAATAAAGAAGGTTTAGAGTAACCTATAGTAACTTTCAAATCCTTTTTCATTCAATTTTTCTGTGCATACAGAAATAAACTTTTAGGTGTGCCCAGACCGGGCATACTGTGCCGCAAAGGGTTAAGATGTTTGCCTTTGACCCCGCAACATCGGAGTCATTTGGAGTGGTGTCGCAGCAATCATCATGGCTACCATCAGACTGGCATCGTATAGTGTTCAGCGATAAATCCTGCTTCACCCTTGAAGCAGATGACCGCTGTGTTTGTGTTTGGAGAGGACGGGGCCAACAGTTCCAATCAGCCTTTGTTTTACAAAGGCGTACAGCCATAACCCCTGGTGTGATGATGTGGGGCGCTATTTCTTATGACAGCAGGTTATCTTTAGTCATCTTCCATACATCTTTAACAGGTCAATGATATGTTAATACCATCCTGTGACCGGTTGCATTACCCTTCATGGCACGTCATCCTGGGGCCATTTTGCAACAAGATAATGCCAGGCCACATACGGCACGCATATCTCTGGATTGTCTCCGTGTGGTTGATACTCTTCCTTGGGCAGCAAGGTCACCAGACCTTTCATCAATCAAGGTTTCGGACATGGTAGCCGCCAGATATGGGCACCACAAAATATTGCTGATCTGCAGCTACAACTGATGAATGCGTGGCAGATGTGTCACAGGATGACATTAGGATTCTCTACCACTCCTTGCCTCAACGAATTCAAGCATGCATTGCGCCAGGGGTGGTTTGACCAACTACTAATTTGAACACTTGATGGGTGATTGTGAGCTGTGAACAGGTACTATGACCTTGATTTTTTACTTATTTTATTATCTGCGTATGAGCTATACACATATTCAATTTTATCAAAAACAACCACTTTATGGTGCATCGTATTTTTTGCAAAAGAGTATCTATATGAGATATATATATATATATATATGTCTTATTTTGGCAGCCGGGCACACGCATAAAGCTTGGCATTAAATGATGACACAGAAGAGGTTAGCTGTTTTGGTTTCACATGTTTATTCAATTCAAATGGTAAATCATTATTCTTTTAGATTCCTCAACATTACATATGCGATAGTAATTTAGACTCGATGCGATTAACTTTAGATTTACTGCATCATACTATTCGAACAAAGAAAGATAGAGCGGCAGCAAAAAGGTGTTACAACAGCAGGTGGAGAAAAGCAATTTGATGAAAAATGACATGAACTCTTCATTTATAGCAGTGGTTACATAACATGCCCGAATGTTCTCGAAAGTACTGCTCTGGGAGAAGATCCTGAAATTGCGGAAAGTTACTTAGAGGTTGCCTGTTCGCGTAGAGCAAAGTCATTGTATTTTTTATATTTTACATATATGTATCTATATGACCAAATATATATATATATACAAAGAAAATTAGAAGATAAATTTTAGTAAGCATGCCAAAAAGTTACCTAAAACTGTGGCTCCGAGAAAACTCCAACATAAGCATATTTAGTTACTATGAAAAGTGTGAAAGAGGAGAAAAAATATTTGAATATTTACAAGTTAAATTAATAAAAAAGCTAAATGCTAAACAAATTAGGAAATTTTAACACAGAAAAACAAATCAATTGAATGAGGTAGAATAAAGATAGTGGCTATATGCTAATAAAAAAGGTAGATTATAAAACACGGTAAAATACAAATCAATTGATCAAGGTAAAATATAAAAAATATATTAAAATTTAGAAGCAGAAAAATTTCCCTTGAAAGCCAAAATGAACTTCGAATTGAGCTAATTAACCATTTCTGATTTCAATTAATCAATGAGTTTTCTGAAAACAGTCGTCATGATGAGGTTTATTTGTTTCATCTCATTGTACTCACTGATTGCCATTTTGTTTCATTTTCTTTTTTTTTTTTTTCTTTCATTGTAGAAATTTCATAGCAAGGATTTATATCATCATACAGCATGCTATCAAAATATTGGGAGTCCTTCCCCCCCAAAAAATAAGTATTGGTAATGTTATCTCGTTCCTCAGTGGTTTTTTCCTTGAACTGGTTACAGTTATGAAAATCAAACTTCACTTTCCCTTTAACTTTCTTTTACCAAAAATTTAATGGATATAAATTTTAATGATCATTGTTGCTGTTCCTGATCCTTTGATCAGGTTAAATATCAATAGATTAGCAGTTATTGTTCCTAGACGTTCTGATAATTTTACAAACAGTTCACCCATCAACAGGTCTGATAATTTTAAGAATTTGTAGTTTGGACATGGGACCAGTGATTTTTTTTATTTCTGGGAAACAGCTCTTGAATCTTGAAGTAATTTTATAAAGCGTTTGCTATATAAAAGATAATCATTGTTGAATTAAGCATTGAGGTAACTTGCAAAAGCTGAAGTATTAGTGTTTAAATTGTAAATTGTAATGAAGATGATTATTTTCTGTTTATGTGTTTCCTTGTATAAGTCTTGATTCTTCTTGTTGCATGTCTTTCTTTTCTTTTGTTTTCACTGTCCTTTAGGAGTGACAAAAAGTGCTGTTATTGTAATAAAATTCTAATTTGTTTGCCCAATAAATAGAAGGAGGGGGAAATCCACTATATGGATATATATTGCATTTCATGAAAGCATCTCATTTTCAGTGCTTTGATTATTCTCTTCACAGTCAAAATTCATAAGATTGGCACTATGTTAAATTGGCACTGATATATGATCAGCATGATAACTAGTTTTATTGGTTACAATCTCCACCAGCCGAAAAGTTTTAAAAATGGCACCACATGCCCAGCCCACCCTCTGAGTGTTTTCAGAGGTTCAACCTCCTCTGCAACTCCCTGGAGAGGACTGGCACTAATTGCCATACAGCTGGCTACACTGATCGTTAATTTGCTACCTGCCAGTCGCTCGGGCTGCCCGTCACAGAGAGACACCTAGCGAACCCTGGGATGCTATCCCAGGGCTACTAGTGCCTCTTAGAGCTAGGACACGCCAGACCACCGGGCTAACCAATAACTTTCCAGGGCCTCCAGAACCACTAGATTCATATATTTTATACCCCCGTGACCAAGACTGCCTAGGTACAGAAACTAGCCAGTAGCTTTGCAGAGTTCTCTACGTCAACTCCCAGGGGCGTAATGGCAGACCGCACATTCAGTTGATCAATGTTAAACCAATTTCGCATACTGCATATGCCCATAAGAGAATTTGGCTCAATTAACGACTTTGATGCAGTTTTTAAAAAAATCTGATGTGTACACCACATGACTTCCTTGTACGGAATATTATATTTTATGCATTTTTTCTTGCATTTCATTTAACTTATTAGATTGAATTAAACCTACTTCGCCGACAGCGCATAAACCACAATAGAATAAATGCATTCTTTAAAATTCACTTTGTTTACCATAGCGACACTCTGGCGCTAGGTTTACTTAACAGTATTATATTTCGTTCATATTATAACTCAGAATGCACAAAATTTATATCATTTAAAGAATTATCTAATCGTTGCCACATGTTCTATTCAAATACTATAACAAAGCTAGAACGATGTATAAAAGAAATTAAGGAAACAAAACGAAAAAGAAACAGTTTCCTCAGACGATTGAATATTTCTCATTCAATTAATTCAGTTTTCACTTCGCGACAAGGCAAAAATATATAAAAACTCAAAATATCTGTATTAAAAATTACGAAGTAAATCTTAAATACTTATTTCCTCGAAAAATTTCCAGAAAGGATTAAACATGATTTAATTCGCAATAATAAATGAAGGCGTTATTTTTGTGTTGCGAAGCTTAGTGTCTCTAAATTGGCAACAAATCTACAATTCTGCTGTTTCAAATGTAAACAAATATGTCCGCCATGTTATTTAAAACTTAACTGCACTTAAACAGCTTTTAAATTGTTGATAATTGTACAAATATTGCTTCCAGAATTACAAAAGGCATAAAAACTTTAATCGGAAGATAAAAACAACATAATTCAATCATTTTTAAAGCAAAAAAATGTACAATTTACAAACATATAAGAGTAAAGAAACTGAGGCCACTGAGCCGGGTAACAGAGTGGATAAATATATATAAATATATTTATATACGTTTGGCACGGTGGATTGAAACCAAAATACGAGGTGCACATCTACATGTTATAGTAGTCTTATATACAAAATTTCAACGTTCTGAGGCTCCTCGTTTTTGAGTTATGCGTGATACGTACGTACGTGCGCACGCACGTATGTACATACATACGTTCGTACAGACGCCCCGAAAAATTCTCTTCAGAATTCATTTTAAAGCCGTTTTTTAGTTTTTTTTGTAGGAAAAGAGTCTTTTATTCTGTCCTTACGTATAGATATTATGCAAAAACATCGTTAAATTGCATTCGAAAGCGGTCAAAGTGGATATTTTCGTTGAAATATGCTGCCTGAAGCTTTTCGCGATTACAGTACTTCCTTTTTACTTCGTGCGAGGAAGTAAAAAGATAACTGCAGTGTATGGTTGATATTCTGTTGTCCGGGCGTAAACAGTTTGGGGTTTTAAAACTTAGTTTAAACCTTTGTTAGGTTGTAAGTTGCTTCATTAATTAGAGTGTAAATATTGATTGTAAAGTACGCAAATTTTTGTTTAAGAAGCATTACCAAAACAGGAAACATTATAAGATATATTAGCTGAATGTTTGTTGGTTATACTTCTGAGGAATAAAAGGAACTGAGTATTTACCATACAATCAATTCGTATATACTTTAAGAAATTAAGAAATAAATCCAGTTTCAATTATTGAATTAAAGGTCAAAGAAATTATTATAAATAACTGATATTAAATGTAGTGTTTATGAACAGAATAAACCAAAACAACTATATTACTATGGAAATAAGACCTACATGACAGGTTGCTTATACCCCTTTGTCACCAGTATTTCCTCCCACGCCAACGGTAGACCATTGAGCATGCACAGTAAATTCGTTAACAATGTTCAACTCAATGTGCAGTTTGCCATTACGCTCCCCCCCCTGGGGTGGTATTAACATGATAATAAAATGTTTTTTTAAAATAGTGATGTAATAATGAGTAAGGAGACTAATTCATGTTTAACATGCAGAGTTATCACTAGCATCTTTTGCAGAGTTATTATTAGCATAGTGACATAGCATGGGATGAACAATGTGTAGATTTGACACCAGCATGTATTTGATACTGCATAAAGGAGGATAACAACTAGCAACAGTACAAAATCAAGATAGAAAGATTTTGATTTAATTAAGGGTACCCACACAGAATCGATATTGATTTGGGCAGAAACTAGTTTAGATTTGCTGTGTTGATTTTGTTCTGCATTCCTCTATTCATCCTATTTGTATATTGCATATGATGTATAGCTGAATATTTTAAATCTTTATTTCCTGAAAGCTTCTTTGTGGGGCTATATTCTTAGCAGTGAGCTGATTTTTAAGCCATAATATTATCTCCATAAAGGTAATTGTAATGTAATTCAGTACTTTAAAAGAAAACTTTGCATTACATATTTTAATTTTTCTTTTTCCAATAGCAAAATGGGCAATGTTATGGAACTGCGCAAGCGATATTCTAACCTCTATATTCCATCAGACTTTTGTGCTGCCAATTTTCTGTGGCAAGAAGCATTTCCACCTCATAGACCATTTACTTTGGACCATCAGTGTACTTTTCACATTCTTGGGAAAGATGTAGAGCCATTAGTTGAAAATGATGCAGTTCTTGAGCCTTCTGATGCAGATTACTCATACAGTGCTAAAGTAAGATAATAATTTTGCAAAATTATTAATCTGTAGAATAAAAAATGTGGAGTTTCTGTTCTATAAGAATATAAATACCTTTTTAATGGTTGTGGAGTGTGTTAACTATTTACATTCATTAGATTTCTGTTCGAGTATGGAAGCCAGAGGAAAGTGAGGATTCCATTTGCTATTAACACACATACAAAATTTATTTAGATATAAAACAGTGCTTTACAACTAAAATTATCAGGAACCACCCTTTGGTATTATTAGGCTTAACACCTTCCTTCTTCCATACTAACGAAGTTATCGAATAACTCCAGAGACAGGATGCTCGAAGGAACACCTAACAGCAGGTGTTGTCAATTCATAACATCCTCCCCCCTTGAACTGAAATTTCACCAGTGAAGTCTAATTAATTATTATTATATTAAGGTTGTACAGAAATGAATGACACAAAAGCTGCCGCAGAACGGAATACAATTTATTAACAAAAAAAAAAAAAAAAAAAAAAAAACTGATAGTACATCAGTTAGAAATAAACCTCTCCCATGTCAATACACTTCTTCCATCTGGCTGGGAGGTCCCGAAGGGCTTTGGTAAATGAGTCTGTGGGGGTGTTGGGGCACCACCTGTGGACATTTGCATGCAAATTCGGCAGAAGATTCAACATGTTTTCTGCCGAATCTTCTGCCCTGACTGTGTCCTTGATCTTGCCAAACAAGGCATAGTCCTAGGTCCACCCACTTTGCACACACATTTGTCATTTCTAAATCACCATGCACAATCACCTTCAATGTTCCTTGCACAAGCCCCATCTCTTCCTTCATATTGTTGAACGTTATGTGCCTGTTCGCCATGATCAAATCCCACATGGTTGCCATATTTCCTGCTGTATGTGAAGTCGCCGGTCATTCTGCACTGACACCTTTGGCTGTGGTCTCCACTCCACTGCTGAACTTGGCCAACCAATGGAATACAGTATGCCTTGAGGGTACTTTGTTCCCACACACCGACACCATGCGACAATGGATCTCACGACCCTGTATCTCTTCCTTCCATAGGAACCATGTTGTCCAATGCTGACTGGGATAGTCACCTTCCATCATTACTGTCCACGCTCTCGATGATGGCGAAAGGGACATGCGCTGACTTGTATCACTGAGCATTTGCCAGCGTCATCTATGCATTCTGAATAGCTCACACCCCCTTGTGTCTATTTCACTTAATTTCATTGTCACATAGTTTCATTGTGTCAATCATTTCTGTGCAATCCAAGTACAATAATTACTTATCAATTACAATAATTAATTATCAATTCTGAAATTAACATCGGTACTTGCTGCACAATGAGAATACCACGTTAATACTACAGAGTTGCCAACTCTTCCGATTAAACAGGAGACTGCCGATTTCCATCCGTTCTCCCTACACATTTTACAACATATTTTCTCCCTACTTTTTCTTATTCTTTAAACTTCTCACAATTTTATGTAGCATGGGTTAATACTTTGTTATTTGCACCGAAGAAAAAAAAAGTTATTTTAGTCATATGAAAGCACGCAGTGTTTCTCTAGATTACATCTAAAAGAAAACCAAAGTCGTTTCAAAAACATCATGTTCCAGTTGTCTAGTGAGCATCGAGCGTCACTGCATGCCATCTGGCATATATTAGCCAATGAGTACAAAGCAAAATTGAAGTTATTTCATTTGCACATTGTTGATATTTATTATTATCTTGAAAGGAGATCTGAAAGGAAGGGAAAATTGAAACAATTCCAACAGCTGTGTATAATACTAAAATAAGAAAAATTTTGAAACATGTATGTACACACTAGCTATCTTTAAAGAAATATTTATCTTGAATCCTCACCCAATGGAACCCACACTTCTTGTGATTTTTAAAGAAGAAATAAATGGTGTGGTGTATTTAATTATGGCAAAGCACACTAGGGCTATCTGCCTAAGGGGAGGGATGCCTTCGTGAAGGACTTTCTAAGGGAAACTGGCTCGTATACACGTTACACATGGGGAAAACCATGAAAACGCCCATGCAGCCAGCCCGTTCGTGGGATTCGAACCTCGGACCGAACTACCAGTGTTCGACCACTCGGCCACTGGTGGGCCCGAAGAAATAAATGCTTTTAGAGTTAAAAGAAAAGGTTCTATTAAAAGGTATAAAATACCTAATGTAAATTGAGATGTAGTTATTACTTCCACTGTTAAAAATAGGTTTGAGAAAAATTTATTCCTGCACCAGTGAGCAATTTAATTGCCAGTTCTCAAAATATTAATACAAGCTGTAAGCTTTAAAGCTGATACAAATTTCCCTAAAAAAAAAAAAAAAAAAAAAAAAAAAAAAAATTCCTCAACAAGGGAAAAATGTTCTTGGATTACTGTAAGTGTATCTTGTGATGAATGAATATTTATGTTCTTGTCTTTGGAGCTTAACAACTGTTTTTCGCTTTTTTCTACAGTTCCTTTTGCCATCATTTGAAGTTCCTAAATCAGTTCTGCGAAGCAGAATTCCATTAATTTATGTTTTGCAATCAGCGATTTATGATCTGTTTAAAGACAGTTTATCAAAGTTTGTGAAAACAATCTTTTTTTTCTTTTAATTCTACGTATGGTGTTAGTTATGGTGAAATAAGAAAGCAGAAGATTTGGTAATAGGGCCTGCAACTAAAAAAGTAGTGGATGAATTTTCAGAGAAAGACAAAAATAAGTTTTATTTCCATATTAGAAGCTACTTCTGCTGAATATGTGATTACATACTGCATACATTTCCAATCAACAATAAAGTGATTTTACATGCTAAAGTTGCATATTTTTCTGCTCTAGCAAATGCATCTTTTTCTGATATAAGATAATTTTTGAATAGATTTCCAGTTTTACTTCATTTAATCATGAAAAAAGATGATATTGATGTTGTAGTTTTGCAGTTTACAATTAGAAAACTTGGGTAAAGTTATAAAACCAGCTAGGATTGATACCTATTGGAGTTTTAATGGAAAATTTAAAGGTTCTGATGGAATTTTGAAGTATAGTGAACTGTCTAGAATAGCTCAGGCGATCTTGAGAATTCATCATAGTAATGCAGAGTGCTAGAGAATTTTCAGTGCTGTTGTGAAAACAAAGACTAAATTTAAATATAAGTAATGACATATTAGAAAAAAAATTATTAGCAAAAGCAGGCCTATGAGGCAATTTCTATGAACAAAATTAAGAAGTTTCTTTCTTAATGAAAGCAAAATCTACCACTGTTCACAGCATTTGTACGAAAACTGATTAAAGTATTTTTTCGTTAAAAGATGAAAATAATAAAAATGTTTTTTACATGTAAGTATTTTTTACTCTTTGCATTTAAGAATTAGTAACTGACCTTTCAGATAGTAATTAGTAACTATTTAAACTTAATTCATTATATTAAAAAATATACTTTTATCATTTATAAATCTTTTCATCGTTGTGAAAAATCTTCTGATTTATTAAAAAATCTGATTTTTAAGTGTTGTAGGTTGGCGAGTATGATACTACAATAATGACTAACTAAACAGTAATAACTGATCATAATAACAAGGATATCATATTAAATTCTAAATGACAATTTTCAAAGTTCAAATAGTCCAATTTTCTTTAACAGCATTATAGTCTTTTTCTGAAAATTCCAGTGGATGCAAAAGTTGTATATGTCTTCTTACTATACCAGACCTATCTTGTTGTTGCATCTGGTATACATTTCCACAATTTTGCCCAAGTTCCACATATTTCTAGGCAACTTGTTTGCAATCAAGACCACATCATTTACTTTAAAGTCTCTCTTTTTTTTTTTTTTTTTTTTTTTTTTTTTACCTTTTTTGGTGTTATACAATTTGAACATTTGAAGCTTAGCAAATATTCCCTTTTCCATCTTTTCCAGTAATGATCAACAGATTTTGTTGATAGTTGTATTGTATTATCACGTTATTTCTATTTGCATTAATATTTCCATCCAATATTACTGGGACATACCAGTGGCCAAGTTGTAAAGATCCTGGACATTGGTAGTTATGATCTAGGTTTGATTTCAAGCAACCTGCCTGGTTGCATGGGCGTTTCTCCTTGTGTAATGTGTATGAACCAGTTCCCCTTCGATCGTCTTTCACAAAGGCATGTTTTTCCTTAGGCAGATAGCCCTCATGGGCTTTGCCATAATTAAATAAACAATACCTGGTACTATTCGGTTTCGAGGGCCGTAAAAAATCGCCAAACTCTTGTTGATGCCAATGTTGCCAAAAATAATTGCGGCAAGAAAGGAAGTATAATAGTAAATAACTATCTAAGATTGATGTTTTAATTTAGATTAAAGGTTAATTTCATATAATACTTTTTTATTATTATAATTTATATGAAAAAGGCTAAACATGACTGAATGGAAGCATAAGAGTAAATAACTATTTCAGATCATTATTATAATTTATATAAAAATTGCTAAACATAACTGAATGGATAAATTATTCGCTATTTTGCTATCGACAATCGCTAAAGCATAATTTCGCTACCGACTTATAGCTAAAGCATAATTTCATCTCGTTGGTTGTTCAAACGTAATTTTCTATAATGAATGATGCCTTTGAAAATATTCTCGGTAAAGTGCAGAATCGCTCACGTATTTGTTTGCCGCTTTTTACAAGGGTAAAATCAATTGAATTTTTGTCAATTTTCTTTTACTTTTTAAGTGAAAATAGGTCGATGTGTACATAATAAAGTCAAGGGTGTGTGCAGTGCCATTTTTGTGCAATACTAGGATTTTTTTTAAAGTGAAAATAGGTCAATGTGCATATGGATACCGAGTATGTACAATTCTTAAAAACGCGTCAAGCAGTGGGTGAATCTGGACTTTACCCAAAATTCTATTGCCGACTTTTCGTCATGGGCAATTCCCAAATTGTTAAATCCATAGGATATCAAAAAAGGATTTAAAATCAAAAAAGGATTTAAAAATTAAACTAGTATGTCAATGGCGTCTTAAGAAATATAGTACAATATAAACTTACACTATCTGAAATCAACACGTACGCTAGATTTGGCGCGCTGTTAAATGGGCGCGTTTGCTAGATTTGGCGCTTTTGCGCATACATTTTCACTGCAATTTTTTTACGGCCCTCAAAACCGAATAGTACCCAATACTTCATTTTACTGGTGTCAAAGTAATCAAACAAGCAAACATTTTCTTAAAAGTAAATGCAAAAGACTTAATGGGGCTAACTCCTGTGGATTACTGTATACATAGGTAATTGGTCTTGAATTTATCACAGCTTCCATCGCTGTTAACATATGAACCAGTTCTCAGTTCTTCAGATGAGAAAGATGCCTTTGCATTTATTTTCTTGAGGCTTGTTTTCACTGTTCTCACTTTCTCCTCTTTTAATGATAAATTTCTACTGAATTTCAACTTTCCTGAAAAATTCTCTAATGCCATTGTGGCTAATATTTTTCCATATTTCCTTCAATTCTATATTTGCTGTTTTGAAAGGTTTTTTTCAGAGTAGACTGTAGTACATAGTACATGGCGTGAAATGAATCTGAAATGCTAGTAAAAATGCTTCTGTACTTAGATAAGGAACTTGTTCTAAATGAATGGCTTGTGTTAGTTACATAGTAAAATGTAATGCTTTTCTTTATTCTGTTTTGTAAAGCAAGGATCCAGCGAAATAGATACCAATGACATCCAATGGAGGAGATTCCTGAACATGATCTGCTGGAAGTGGAGCTGTAACTTGCACTGTATGATGAACCCTATACCATCTGCATATTAAATATTTATTCAACATAGATTTAATGTTCTGTGTTCTGAGGATGCAAAATTTGCTCTGTAGTTCAGCCAGTGTGTCAGCTATTTCTGAATGTGGAACCTTATGTACATCCGTAATTAAAAGTTCTGCTTACTTGATTCCTGTAGGAATTAACCATGGGTGTTTCTCTTTCATTCCACATTTTGAAAACTATAGTCATCCCTTTATGTGTATCTATTTTATTAAGTAATTGTTTTCCTTCTTCTTCAAAATTCCTTGACTGAATAATTTTGATCCACTAAATTTCTGCTTCTAACAGCTCTAAAGCTGCTAGGGGACCTTCTTTCTTCTCACCAGTTTTTTTTTTTCCGGACATTATATATAAAGTGCTTTGTCCAGGCTGTAATTCAATAAAATCCTGACAATTTAATATATTTTTCAGTATTGTGAACTGGTTCTGCTATTAATGGGACGTTACATGCAAATTGCACTGTAGTTTTCTTCTCAGTTTGAAGTAACTGCACTCAGATTGCTTTGAGGCCATAAACAATCTGGTAATCTTAGCTATGGATAATTTTTCCACCACTAAAGATCTTTCATTAATTTTAAAACACTTTTTTCCTTTCGTGAGTATATCTGCTGAGTTATCCTCATAATGACTTCAATTTTGAGGACTGGAATAGTTCTTTATTTCAGCTACTCTGTTGGACACAAATGTTTTCCAATCCCTTGCTGTTCCTTTTATCCAGTGCAGTGTCATGGAACAGTCTGACCAAAGTAAAATATTGCACACCTTAAATTCATCTTCTGCACCATAAGCTCTAGGACTTCCATCGCAAAATATATGTAACTGCAATGCATCTCCAATGATCCTCATATTTGTTAGAAAGTATCCTTGCAACTGAAAATTCCTTCAGGAGTTCTACTTTCTGAACACCAGCTCTTCCAGTTTTCCTTTATTTCTTGGAGTAACTCTTCATCCCAATGAATTCCTCATTTTCATAATTCTTGGAAAATTTGTTTTAACCTGTGATGGTAAAGGGAGAAAGAAAACCAATTGGATCAAAGATTCTTCCCGCAGTTCTTATTACAGTATGAATAGAGACATTAGAATTCAAAACAGAGTTTAATTGGTTTTTGACATCAAATTTAAAAATGTCCTTTTGAGTATCCCATAAGATTTTCAATACCTTTGATGAAACATCTGTATTTTCTGATGTATTTTTTCAAAGTCAAAATCATTACAGGTTTTCAAGCTCTACAGAATTACTTCTTGAGCAGGAATGAAATTTCAGAAGATTAGTAATGTGTTTCTGTAGATTTTCTGAAAGCTTCTTCATTCCCCTGATTGCAAATCTTTGATCTACAGTGTTTCATTTAACATCAAACAAGTATCTGTATAAATAGTGAAATATTGTTTCAAGTAGAATTTAATTACAGCTAGACTAGAAGAGAAACACGCTAATGTGACAATCAAAATCGTAAAAAACAACCTTATATTTAGCGTAGGTATAATGAAACACTCAATCGATTTCGAGGGCAGCTAAAGGTCCCTCCTCATCAGGAGAAAGAAATACATAGAAAGAAAATAGGAATCACAGAAACACGTGGTGCTTATCAGCACTGCACGTGGTTAAAACTAGATTTTTAATCAGAGTTGCACTGGCCGCCTACTTTTACTGAGCCAGGCTGTCTGATCAAGCAAAAAGAAATAATTACAGCTGCTAAAAGAAATGGGCAGGAAATAATACAAAACAGGATTCTAGTCATTCGTACAATTTTTGGCTCAGTATCAAATACATTATCTGGTAAGTCATATCCACAGAAAACATACAATATCATAATTAGTCTCTACCACACTAATTTGAAGAAATGCTTTCTCAATATCAGCAATAAATGCAATTTGGTTAATTTGAAATTCAAGTATAAGTTTTAAGAGATTTGGATTTAAGTTTATTCCAGAATGCAAAATTAGTTTAGTGAAGGAACATGAGGAGGCTGTGAAGAGGCAGTGAAAACAAGCCTTGATTTTATTATTTTCTTATCCTTTCTGATTATAAGATAATATGGTAAGTAATATACTGGATTCTGATCTATATTGTTTTGTTCAGTTACTAATTCTATAATTCCCAGCTCATATTATCCTTCTATCACAGATTTATAGACATCGTTACAAGCATGGATCCTTACAAAACCTTCGAACCAATGAAACAAGTGTTTTCTTATCATTATTATAACTATTTTTAAAATTATCACAATTATGTTCCAACAGAGTTGTGCTTCATAATGACCTTTTTTAAAAGTTAAACTTTATTTGAAACTTCGAAGAGTTCATCAGATTTGAACACTTTTAAGGAGTCATTATGGATACCTAGGGATTCTAATTCCACAAAAGCTTTTAAATGAGACAGTATTAACTCATCCTTATCAAAACTTTTCATAAGAACAGCATTTAAAGCTCCATAGGATAATGCTTAAAGAGGAATAAGAACCACATTTAAAACTTCACTGGATGATGTTTTAAGAGGAATGTGTAACTGGACCTCAAATTGACAGTCCCATCAGCAAATCTATTAACCTCACCATCAATCATCTCTAATCATCAGCATTTAAGTGAATTTTAGAGTGTTTTCTTTATACAATACATGTACCAATTAATTATCAACAAAAATGTGTCAGAGTTGCCGTCATTAAATTAAATGTATTGTTCTTATCTAGTCAGTCAGTCAGTAAAACTTTTCTAAAGTGCATCATTCAGTTTTGTTATTTGTTTCTTGAAATAAAGATGATACATTTATTATCTAAGATGATATATTTATCATGTGTAGAAGAATTTTACCACGCCAAACTGAGCAGACAACAAAAATATGTTTTCTTGTTGGAAGTACCACATTGGCACTTACTTTTTTTGTAGAGAAAATTATTTTGCACTTTTTCTCCTGTAATGGAAAAAGATATAAATTTTAATGATATTTGTGTACGTTTTCGTATTTTTAATACAGTTAATATATTATCTTTAATGTTTGTAGGTGATGCTTATGTCTTCTCCATCTTTAAATGAAATTTTTCATAAATCTTGTGCCCTTGCTCATGATACTGATGATGTCAAAGAAACTTTTGTTCATCCTACTCGCTTAATAAGTTTTCTTGTGGGGCTGAAAGGTAAAAATGAAACTGTTGCTATAGGAGGACCGTGGTCACCGTCTTTGGATGGCCAAAATCCGGATAAAGATCCTGGAGTTCTTGTGAAGACAGCCATTCGTACTTGTAAAGCATTGACTGGAATTGATTTGAGTAGATGTAGTCAGTGGTAAGTGAATGAATCTCTGATAGATGGTAAACTGTTTATGCGTGCAATTGCTAATTACATTATATTATTTTAAAAAACTATTTGACATTTTAGTGACAAAAATAATGTGTTTGAATGCAGTTACATTCTTGGCCCATCTTGACTGCTGACAGACATGTTATTTTTCAGTATTATATTTTTGTATTAATCACTTTTGTTTTACAGCCTGCAACAATTAGCCAATTTTGTGTCACTTTTAGGACAAATTCATCCCTAAAACTATCCCAGATATGCTTGTTTTTTTCTAACACTTTTTTATCCTTTTTTTTTTAATAACAGTTTTAAATTTTATCCTGAAAATAAATTAACATTCATATATCTAAAGTATCTTTTCATTCATTTCTTTCTTAATTTCATCTTCCAGTTAAAATTTCTATGTTTTTTTTAATTGTGTAGAACATCCTTTTTGGAAACATATGCTTCAGTGTATTAGAATATGAACCATAACCTTTATATCTCCTTATTCTTTTGTCTCTAGCTAGCATATTGTTCCTACACCTTTAGTGTTTATCTGCAGTGTCAGTCATGTGTTTGTTATGTCAGTTATCATACTTCTTTGAATCTTTGTAAAATGTGTGTTGGTCTCAATTTTGGCATGATTAAATTGTCCTTTTCATTTTTTTAACATTAAACATTTCTTCATTCTGCCCTTTCTTACTACTTTTTTGGGATTGTTCGAGGTTATTATTTTTTGACCTGTAATCAATATATATTATCACTAAAATTTCTGTATACTCCCCCCCTTCTAAGGCAAATTTATTTATTTTAAATCTCATTTCTCATAAAGCATCAGATTTTGCCTACTGTTAGAATCATTGTGTCGGACAGGCACCATTCTGAACGACAGCTGCTGAGTTGGCATTTTATGTGACACTCATCAATATGCAGAATTATCCATCTAGGTAAAGGTGAGCGTGAGTAAGTTGTGCTGTGAGTTTTGAGTAAATAAGGTGTGTTCTTATAAGGTAATTATTTGCTTGCAATATAAAAGCAAAGGGTGCACATTTATATTCCTTTTGTGAAATTAATAGTTAATATTTGTTTTTCAGTCTTTGCAAAACTTGTTTATGCTTCGAAATTCAGGTATTCTAGTAAATGTGCTTAGCCATGCTTAAGAGGGGAGACTTTCTTCAAACAATGGCTTATATTTGCATGTAACAGAAAAATATTGAATTTGTATTAAACAGTTTACTGATTCCAAACTCATATGAAGATTAATACCTGAATTTTATAAGCACTGACCATGCACTTTATTGCCTGAATAAAGTAAAATTTGGCATGTTTTGTTATTATTATGCATAATCAGGATGTGGAGAAAACTAATTTTTTTAAAAAGAAAAAGTGTAAATTACGTTTATTAACTAGAAGTAGTTAATGTTTGATACTGTTATTACAACACGAGCTGACTTTTGGGAGCTAAAAGCTGCAGTTCAGCTATATTTGGTATAGATTTTGAGTAAATTTATTGATAATTGAGTGAAATAAAACTTATTTTATTGTGGAATGTGTTAATGGATTTTTAGAAATGAATTTCCTGATTGTGCTTAAATACAAAATATAGTCAGTTTTAGCAAGAAGAAAGCTGAAAGGAGTGATTTCATTTCATGGATGTGAATAACTTGAACTGATAAATGTTTTGAATTAAACATTTTCTTTCATTGCATATTTTGTTTATTTGAATGGATTGCAATGCAAATAAACTTTCAATTAAAATTCAAAATAATACAGTTTTATGTTATTTTTACTGTTCAAGTTATGTTCTGACACCTGCTCAGCTCCATGAAATGATATTTAAAGGGCACAGTTTTGCATATGAGTAATTGTTTTAAATTTGCTATACAATTATTTCAATGTAATAATATTTTTTCTTTAGCCACATTACAGATAAGTATGAATTGAATTCTAAGTATTAAGAAGTAATTTTAATGTAGAGTATTGTTTATTACCCTTTTATACCCCATGTTGGTTATTTATACTACATGTGTTTGTGAGGTAGATATTTCTAAAACTACCTAACCTTCTCACCAGAAAACGTAGATTTTTATCCTCTTAATTTGTTCATTTTGGAAAATATGCTAAATTTATTTAAATTTATTGAGCACTTTTTTTAGAAGTTTACATTTTTTATTTATATTTGTAAACTATATTTGAAGTAAATAAATAAGAACTACTTTCTAATTATTTTTAACATAAATAATAATTTACAGTAATTTAACAACTAAAATCTGCTAGATGGCAATGTTGATGTTGACAAAAGTTTTGACTTTTTTATAAATTCTTCCCTTCCAGACGGAATTCTTCATATTTATTTTTTTTTCTTTCTCCCCCCTTTTTTTATCCTGAATGTTTGAGACAGTAATTTAAATTACAAACAGGCACAGAATTTGTACTTATTTTGTCTACCTAACAATCCAGTTTGATTGAGGTACAGTGGTAATTTTAAATTACCGCTGTGACTCATTGTAAAACACATTTGATTGGATTTTCAAGGTAATTTTTTATATGGTCTTGAAACAAGTTTTGCATTCATTCAAAGAGTAAAATTTGATGAAAAAAGTGAAATAGTTGCATTTTATGATTTTTCACTTTGTAAATGTAGAACAAGGCAGCGAGAATAAGAAGATATTTTTTCTCCAAGGAATAAAATCATTGGTCTTTCTAAAACCTATGGTATTTTTTTTTTTTTTTTTTTTTTTTTTTAAGAATGGAAAAAAAGAAAGAGTTCTGTAAATTAAAAAAAAATTATCTTTGAAAAGTGCTATTAATTTTGAATTTTCTTTTTCTGAGCCTTAGTTCTACATTTTTACTATTTAATCGAAAATCAAGTCACCCTATGCTTTTATGAAAAGTAAATAACATTTGTTCCCTGTGCATTTAAAAAATATGTAGCCATGTTAAAATTTTAATACAGGTTTTCTGCAACATTAAACATTGTTTTTCTTATCTAATTTGTAGAGAAAAAAATTTTGAAACCGTGCTTTTATTTTTTTTTACTAATTGATAAGGTACTGATGATGAACATGATTTGCTTTTGAAACTTAATCTTTTATTTTTTTAAATTCATTAAGTTTTTAGCATTCAACATTGTCTTTAGGTAAGGGTTTAATTTTTCAAAAATTAGATGCTATAAGCAGATATCTGACCTTTGAAATTGCTTTAGATGTTATGGTATAGGATTTATTCATTTGCCATATTCAAGAACATGCCTAATTCTTTATTTTTTATTAGCTTGCACTTAAATTGGAAGGGAAGATAATTAGGATAAATGTCTACATATTAAAAATGCATGTGGATCAAGTGTGCCTAAATAAGGACAGCACTTAGGTTGAGATTGCCAACATTTGAAAACTTGCTTACATGTAATCATCATAAATTCTTTTTAATCTAGTAACAAAAAAGATATTTTTTTAATTACAAAAATTCAATAATGATACTAGTGCTAGTTAACTTTTGTTTTGACTTTCATACTTATATTCATTATCTTTGATTAAAACAATTGTTGGCAATCTCAGCATGGTCTAGGTGGGAGGCTATTGCCTCCGTTTTCTCTCTAGCATACATAGCTGTCGTTCTGTCTTTCTTTGACACCCTCAGGTATCGTTTTGCTGAGATCTACTACCGGCGGGGAGAATCATCGAGCCACAAAGGCCGTGGCACGCGCGTCGAAACTGTGGTTCTTTTCGTGCCAGATGTTTGGAGCTGCCTCCCCACCCGTGTAGAGTGGGATGGCATGATTGCCACTGGATGTTGCAAAAAACCGCTTCTTCAGCGGAAGCTCCCCGAAGAGACGTCGGACCCTGAAGCCCAGGCACTGATACATTATATGGTTTCTTTTCTTTTTACACTTCTTTTGCTCTGTAGAGACTATGCAACGCAGCACCAACCACCATTGACTAGCTACAATCACTGGAAATCTATAACAATGGCTTAATTTTTTTTCTTAAAAAGAAAAATTTTGTACTTATGTGAAAACGATATGCATATTAGACAACACATTTGCCAGATGTGATCAATGAAATCAGTCAGTAGCAAAGTTTAGCTAATGTTTGCTAGTTTTATCTTTCTCCTGATGAGTGATCATAGTTAAAACTGTTCTTTCTAGAAGCCAGTTGTTGATTTATCCAATGTGTGAAATGTGATTAAATTTGGTTGTAAGTTTTTTTTCTTTAAAAAATGATAGATCTTTTAATGACTTATGGCAAAAAAATTCTTTTTATGAATGACAAAAAATACCTGCATATACATAATTAGAAGCAATGACTTTGTAGTCTAGAATGCTCTTTTTTTGACCAGATCAAGAATTCAGAATGGTGTTATCGACATATTCATAACAGGTTTGAAATTTATCAGTATAAGCTAATAGTTATTGTAATAAGATTTTGCATGGTTGGATATAATTCAGATATTTGACATATTCTGTATGTCTGTAGAAATTAATTTTGTTATTGTTGCATTTATGCATAATGAATATTTATGTGTGAGTGGGTAGGAAGCAGATAGATTTTTTAACTGATGTGTGATAACATCTGTAAAAATGAACGTATTCTGCAAAGCTATTGTTTTAACGGTTTTTCATTTCTGTCACAGTGATTATTTTCCAAATATTTTGTCTTAGTTATTGACCATGTAGTGTAGATTTCTGCATTAAGTTTTTTTGTCTGTTGATTTTTTTAAAAAAATTAAACCATTTGACACAAATTAAAAAAGTATTTTATTTTATCATTCTGAAAGAATTTCTCCATTGAAAGTTTCCCTCCATTGTTTGTCAATGTCAGTTAGCAATTCTGATGCTGAACAATCATTTGGTAAAGACATGTTGTTTAATGAAAAATATTTCAATGTCTATTTGTTGTTGTTGTTGCTAATGTCACTTGTCTGACCTAATAAGAATTAACCCACAAATTTAATCATGCTAAGGAGTAAAGATTATATCTGTCATTTGCATGTGTCTTGAACAATATGTAGGTTACAGTATGACTTTGCCTATTTCTGCCCCAATTTTGGAGGAGAGCATGCCTCAGGAGGTATCTCCCAACTCTTTTCCCCCTACCATCAAGCCACTCAAGAGCTTTCAGCTCACTATAATTTTAAGAGACCCGCCATTCTGCACAGACACTGTATATTTACAAACATCTATGAGTTCTCCAGGATTCGAACCCGGCCCTTCGATGGGGCAGTCAGCATTAATAACCTCTATCCTATCTAAAAAAAATAAATAAATTTCCACTTCAAACTCTCATGAATGCCTTTTAACCTTCTTTTATTTAGAATATTATTATTATTTTTTATCATGCTGAATGTTTGAAGCCATTTAAAAACAGATTTTTTGTTTGCTGGCTTCAAAATACTTTTATGATGCTTAGGAGTGTGAACTATGGCATGTTGTCAAATAGAGCATTTTTGTTAAACTAAAGAAACATGCAGTACACTGTGTTTAGTCAGTGACTAATTTCTAGAGTTGTGAAACTGCATTTTGATTGATGCAGAAGTTTTTAATTCCACGTGTCACTAACCCATTTTTGTTGATTTTCAACAAACTGAATCTATATTTTTGCATCTTTCATATGAATGATTAGGTACATGAATAAGAAAGCGTCTGTTTGTTTGCACGAAGAAGAAAGCATTTCAGCAAATATCGAACATTCATTTCTGAGAAAGAAAAAGTTTAGTAAACTGGCTTTTGTCCACTTTGATGATAAAATTTGGACCATCATCATTGTTACTTGATATTTCTTTAATGATGTTGCATAGAGTTTACTCATAGATTTATTCCCATTTGTTGTGATGCAATTTGCCAATAATAAGTTTTTTTTTTTTTTTTTTTCCTCTTTGTTTATACTTTGCTGTGGTGCTTATAATTGGCAATTTTTATTTCTTCTGACTACTGTTAGTTTGCAAGTGCATAAATCATTTGAGCTATGCTAATGAATGAACATTGATTATTTGGTCTTGGCTAAATGGGAAGTGAAAAGAAATATGTTCCACTGAAAATAATGAATATGACCATCCAGATTCTATAAATTTTAACATTTTATGAATGAATATAGATATATATATATCTATATTCATTCATAAACAAGAAACTAAAGAGCAAAATAAAAGTTGTTTGTCACATATGATATATCAGCAGTTGTGAGCTGAATTTATCAGCTGATGTCAGACATGTAAAATTGAAATTTGCACTTTTTTGGGGGGATTAGTGGCCCACAACAAGTAATTTTTTTTAAAATTGCTTATATAATCATACACAGACAATTTTTTAAGAAACTGTATGCCCCTTCCTCAAACAGATATAAAAAAATTGATACTATTTATATTGTGGAAAAATTTTGATCATGATTAATTATCTTTCTTTTTATTTAATAAAAGCTGCTAGCTACATTGTCATTTCTAAATATTTGTGAAATTTTTTGTTACTCATCCACTTTTGAATGGTCTGTGGTATTTTTTTCTATTGAATATTTGAATTGGGAAAATGTTAGGCTCCCTGTATACCGGATGCTGATGTAACAAATGTGTGCATTATCCATCTTAGTATTTGCAATTTTTTCAGATATGTAATCTGAAAGGGGCTTTTTTCAGTTCATCATCATTTTATCATAAAAGATCTTTATTAAGAAATTTATTAGTTCAATTAGATTTTCAAAGATGCAGTTAATAAATCTAAAGTTATGTCTATAAATTTCAGAGTAATTATTTGAAAAACGCAATTAAAAAATATGTGCGAAGTATTCCATGTATGTGAAAGCAATGAAAAAAGTATTTGAAGACACAAAGAAGAAGAAAAAAAAAAAAAAAAAAAAAAAAGTGAAGCTGATGAAGTGATGAAGTTAATGTGATTGTGAATTGGGTGGAAAGGTGCTGAAGCAAGCAACTTAGAGGACCAGTTTAAAAGCTGTAGAATGATGGGAAATTGTTGTTAAATGTTTAGAATGAGAGAGTGCTGCACAGAGGGTATTCCAAGTAAAATTTTTCTCAAATGAAAGATTGTTGCACAGAAGTTACCCAATAAAGCATTTCGAAACCTAAATCAAGCAGTTACTGAAAGTAGTGTGATAGAAATCAGAGTTGCTGAAATAATGCATTTTGCGACAATTGATGAATACAGCAAGAACAGTGGATAGTAAAATTTTAAAATTAAATAACTAGAAACATGATTTGGGAAGATTTTCGATAATTGGCAGGAAATTTTTGGTCTAACCTCCCCCCCCCATGTTATTTTTGAAAACCGATAAACTTTATGAGCCTGAACCCTCAGTTTTATATGAAAATCTTCGTACTTCTGGTTACTTATTCAGTCATTCAAATATTAGAGTTGATTTAATATATTCAGAAAATTCTATAAAAATGTTCTGTATTTGAAAATAACATTCCCTTATACATAAGACCTTTCTTACATCTTAGGAAAAATTTCAAGGAATAAAGTGGTAAGGAAATAATTATTTTGTTTTGTGAGAATTTCGGGAAAGTGAATCTTATAATAATTAACTATGAGATTTATCTAGTATTTGTTTAAATAGTATTTATAATGTATGATAATTAAACTCCTTCCTCTGTCCACAATTTTTATTTATAAAAATAGCTGCTTATAAAACCATACCAAAATTAAGAACATAAATATAAGAAAAATAGAGGGTTTTATTTTTGAATCGCTGTATAGGATGTGTGAGGTGTTCGAGAACAAAATGATAGTTTGAAGAAAACAAGTATTTGTAATAGAAAAATTAGACGTATTGCCACAGAATTTAATACAATATGTGTATTTAATACATTTGTGTAATAAAACCTTATTCAATAAAATGATCTTTGATATCACTTTGAAAACAATTGCATACCAGGATCATATTCATGTTGGCCATAATATCCACAATGGCAGTCTTTAATGACTCCTTGGTATTGTAAGGCTGCTTGTTGGTCTCCCTCTTAATGATACCCAATATGTAGTAAAGTATAATTAAATAGTAATAATAGTAAAGTATACTTAAATCTGTAGAGTCAGCCACTCCTATTATTAAAACATGTTATTTTAAATGTCCTAAAAGTATCTTGAAACTTTGCAAAAGTTGTGTCTTAAAAAAGTTTTTTTTTTTTTTTTCCCATTCCTAGCTCTGAAATCTTTAATAGCAAAAATTATCTAGAATTATTACAGTTCCAAGATTTGGTATTTTACTCTACAGACCTGCAAGTCTCCTTGTGAACTGTATCATTTCTTCTTGCAATAAAATTATAACTCTAATTATGGAGCATAAGTATTCAAATAAAAACTTTGAAAAAGGCTCTTAATTCTGTATTGATTTAGAGATTTGGGATTTATTTTTTTTTCATTGTACGATTTTGCATTTTATTTTCGCGTTTTATTGTCCATCAGGAATTTTTTTCTATTATGAGGTGTTTTGGAGATAATTATTTGTTGGAAAAGTTGCTTTTGCAAATCCAAGGAAATAGTTTCAATGGTAGATGAAATCCATATTGCTTCAAATAGAATAGTTTAACTGTGGTCACCAACAGAATTGATAAGTCATAAATTTTGAATCTTTTTAGCCTTTGGAACTGCTTGAAGTTAATAATGAATTTGTATTGCTGATATTAAAAATCATTTACACTTTTTCATAATAGCATCCATAATTCTGAGCACAAAAAAATTATGGAAGCATCCATAATTCTGAAAAAAAAATTGAGGTGTAAATTATGCTTTGTTTAATATATTCTCCTAAAATGAGTAAGCAGTAAATATCTCAGTCAACAACATATTTAATAGTGGTTGATCTAACAGATAATTTGTGATTATTATTGAGTTCTGGATGCTGATTGGATTCTGTAAATGATTTTAGTTGCACTATGATTTATTTTCTACATTTGACCATTTTATTTAATAATTTATGGTCAAATTTAGAAATTGTTTGTAAGAAAAATAAATTAATATACCTGCATTGCTATAACTTAAGAATTAATTAATATTGAAAATTTGTTTTTTCATTTAATAAAAAATGATTGATTTTATGCGATTTTCTGAAGTTTCTGATAAAGTGAAGAATATATTGCTGAATCATGTGTTTTGATTTCCTGTCGCAATTCAGGTGTATTTAAATATCAAAGAAAGAATGAAAATTTTATATTTTATATGCCTTACGTTTACTATGTAAGTTAGCAAATTTTAACTTCAATTCTTTTTCAAATGCTTATCATAATAAAAATATTACGTGTGAAACATTTGTTTTAGATAACTGAGTTTCACTTAATAATAAATTAAGATGGACTTACTTTTTTTAAACTAGAAATTATTCTATTACTATAATGTTTAATTTATAATATAATATACATACTAAACTTAAGGGAGATATTGTTTTCTTTGTGAGGTTTTGTTAGTGACATGGAATTTCCCTTTTTCATTAAATAGCCAAATATGATGATATAAAGTCAAAATAAAAATATTTGTTTAAAAATCAAATTCTAGTAATTCCAAATTTACACCAGTGATTTAATGTAGAACATACTACAATCAATGCACATCTGCTGACAATGACATAGGTGATTTTTGTAGCTGTTTGTTTTATGTAATTTTTTTTTTGGGGGGGTCTTATTACTAGTCTGAGACTTACCTGACATTTGTTCAGATCTACTGTAGGATTACCTTCAGCTACATCAAGTGCATTGTTAATAGGTTCAATGTTTAATTTATATTACTTCTATACATAATCACCTAAGAAAACGCCTGTGCGTAAATCTGAATGAAATCTTCTATACAAAGACCATTTCTAGGATTTTCTTTATTTTTCGAGGCTGATGAATTTTAAGTGGACTTCATTGAAAAATTTTTATAATATGATTCCTAGTTTACTTATGGCAATCTATATAAATAACAATAGAATACAGTGTTTATAAACAGTGAGAGCATTTTTGGTAATTTATGAGGATGTCAAAAATTGTTTTGAGCTATATCCATACCATCCGGAAATGGAAAAAAGTTTTTGCACTTGATGGTGTAAAAGTTCAGCAGCCATTGGATTAGCATGATTGAAAGAAGTGGTGCATATTTATTGAAATGACCATTAAGATATTTTGATTCAACTACATTCATTGTTTCCTTCTTGGATTTCAAGCCCACCAATGGCCAAGTGTTAAAGTTCACTGAACACTGTTAGTTTGACCTGAGTTTGATTCCAGGTGAATGGACTGATTGCATTTCTGTTTTTGTCGTTTTTATGCATGTGTAATATCGATGTGAGCCAGTTTTCATTAGAAAGTCCTCCACCAAAGTATCCCTTCCCTTACGCATATAGCCCTCACATACTTTGCTGTAGTCAAAACCAACCTTCTTGGATTACGTCTATGCGTGGCAAAAACTCTCATGTTAGCCATAAGAGAAATGTTGTCACAACATAGCAGAATTAGGATTGCGATGTCAATATTTGTTGAATGAGATAATTCCTGCACGGAAGGTTTTTAAATTGATATGATATTTAGCCCTTTGCACTCAGAGATAACTGAAAGTGGTTTGAAATAAATGCATCTAGTAGCAACTAAATTTCACCTGTATGTTACAAATGGTTAAAAATCTTACACATTTTCCTTTCAGATAGTATTGATGTGACCAGTGTCTATCCGGCTAAGTTACTGAGTGTTCCTATCATTTATAAATATCCTGTATTATGCAATACAAAGTATAGTAGTATTAATATGAGCTTGGTGAAGTCAGTTGAGAAAAATACAAGGTATTCCAGATATTTTCAAAGGAAAAATTTGTAATATTTTTCACCTAATTGTACTCTACTTTTTAAAGTATTTAACTTTTCTGATACATTTCACTCTTCATTGCCTAATTTGCACTGACTGAATTTTGTTTTTAGCATCAGATGCAAATGACCTAAGATTTCTTTTCATAAGATTTTCTTCTTTCATAAGAAGGTTGGTTTTGACTACAGCAAAGTATGTGAGGGCTATATGCCTTAGGGAAGGGATACTTTGGTGGAGGACTTTCTAATGAAAACTGGCTCACATCAATATCATATCAGCTGAGTTCTTTCTTCTTCATATTTCATCTTACAGTTCTGAAATGGCTTTTTGTTCTCACTATGCTCTTCTCTAACAAAACATTGATCATTCCCAGACTGATGATTATATACTATATATAAAACCATTTGTGTGAGCATTAAAACAAATTGTGCATTTAATTCTAAAAGTTTTATTAATGAGTTGCACATTTTTACAGTTGATCATAAGACAGTAGTTTATTTTAAGTGTTAATAAATTCAGAAATGGATGTAAAAGAAGAAAGTGGAATATATATTAACTAATTTAAAGGGAATAAATAAGAAAGTACTGTGTCTAGGACCTGCTACTAAATCAACAATATCTGATAATATTCGTAGTGCCTTCTGAAACAGATCTCTGCCTTTTTTGTTTTGTAAAATAAATAAAAAATGTATTTGTGGATTTTATTTCTGTTTTGTGTTTAAAGGAAATTCTATAACTATCTAAAGCAACTAAGTGAATTTTAATTTGAGGGTGAGAAAGGCTTGAGAATGAGATATACCTTTTAATATTGCTACTCTCTTTTTAATACAATGAAATTTGTAAATAAATGTAATAAAGTTGTTTAATGCAAAAAAGCTTTGCATTTGTTGCATTCTCAATCCTTCTTCATGTTTCTGCAGTTCCAAAGTCTTTTTAGGTATGTCAAAAATATTGCTAGCAAACAAAATTTATCAATGAACATCTGTATCTAAACTAAATTTTTGGAATAATGTTCATGGTCACGGGTTTCCTTTTTGATCGTGGCTAGTCAATTTTTGTTGATAATAAACTTTTTTCTGTTTCTTAAAAGGTGGAACATGAGAAGTTAATGGAGCTGAGTGGATATTATACTGCTGCACAAAGCAGTGTGTAGTAGTATGTGCATTTTTGTGTTTTTTTATTTTACAGGATTTCAAAGGCTGCCGTTTCTATGTAGAACAACACTATGAGAACGTGATATGGTTTGGCATTGTGTACCTTCAAAATATAATAAAAAATACTTAAATTTAATCATTTTCATTACAGAAGACATTTTAATTTTTGTTTCATTTTATTATATGTAGGATGAAGAAGATAGTGAAGCTGTTACTGAAAAGAAAGAGCCTACTCATTATTCTGAATTGGACCCTAAAACTATCAAAGTATGTATATTATTGTGAGAAAGTATTTGGTATTTGCATATTACCTCTCTAAACACAGGATCCCTTAAGAATGCATTCATTTATCCTGAATGTATGGGAGGAAATGATCACACCTGTATATTATTGTGAGAAAGTATTTGGTATTTGCATATTACCTCTCTAAACACAGGATCCCTTAAGAATGCATTCATTTATCCTGAATGTATGGGAGGAAATGATCACCCGAGCAGAAACTGAGATTTCAATTGTGATCAATTTTTCAAAAGAAAAGGATAAAGGACATGTATAATTATTTTACTTTTTTTATGAAATTTATTCGTGTGGTAAGAAATTTCATTAAAAAAGTAAATAAATACTAAAATATTTTCTTCGGAAATTAGGAAGTAGGAAAATTTCCATAGATTCCATGATTCTAAAATGAATTTCTAAAATTTTGATTCTTTATCAGACAGAAGGAGAGGGCAAAATTTATTCATTTGTATTGAAAAAAAAAATGTTTTTTAGATTTTTATTACATCACATTTATATATACAAAATTAATAGCAGCAGTGCTCTGTCGTGATCTAAATAATCCATCCAAGCCAAAGAGCTTTACTTCTGGCATTATTAATATCATTAAAAATTACAGAAAATTTCAAAAGAATAGTATGAAAAGTTAATATAGATGTCATTATCTTTCTAGGCAAGTGGAAATAGTCTTATTTCAGGGTAAATATGTTGGGAAGTAATGAGATGCTACATTTCAGTTGGCTTCTTGTGTGAATAGAACATTTATTTCTTAGAAAAAGATTTATTTTTTGCCTTAGTTTTGTGTTCAAGAATTTAGTTATAATATGATTAGCTTGAATAATAGAAATAGGTTGTTTTATGGGGCAGGGGAAATGCACTAAATTGATGAAAAGCTTTGTCCAGATTGTCGTATGTATGGAACGAGAACGGGTTCATAGACTTTGACTTGCTTTGGGAGCATAAACTAACAAATGTTAAGCAAATTATGGCTGTTTCTGAAGTGACTGCAGGGACTTGAAAAGATTTAAAACAACCTTTTTATTAAAACGGAAATTGGAACATAAGTGCACATCTTGTGCTTAATAAAATCTACCACCACTTATGGTGATGAAACTATAAAATAACAGATCAAATTTAAAATGTAGACTAGTAGTTGAAGACTACACAATTATATTTAAATCTAAGCTGGCTCAGAAAACTGCAGTATCAGTTTAAATGTCTATGGGAAATAATGCAAAGCCGAATTAATTCCAAACTTATCAGAGATGACGGAATTAAAGTAACATACTTCAGCTTAAATACTATCAACTGATTTGCGTTCTGGTGAGGAAACAGAAAGGAGAAGGTAAGAATCTAAATCATAATAATTGTTTATTTTCAAATAATAATAACTCTGCATATTTTATATCGGGACAAGCAAATAAAGAGTTGACTATCTGATTTTCTGTGTGTAAAACATGGCTATTAAGTTAAATTAGTTTCATTGAAGTTTATAAATTATATATAGTTGCATGTTCCTCCCCCCTCAAAAAAAAGATTCTCCTTTTAAGTGCCACTGAAAATGAGATTTGGAGGAGGATCTAAAAACTTAAATGTAAACTGTTTGAGAATCATTTTAAGAATTAAAATTTAATTCATTCATTTGCTTTGCTAATTAAGTACTTAATAAAACACTAATAAACACAAAGTACAGTTTTGTTCTAAATTAGGAAAGTAATCACCCCTTTAAATTTCTCAAAAGTTGCCAAATATAGGTACAGATGGCAGCAGTTTATACCATGACCTATATATACCAGGGTTCGTACTGCCCTTAAGAGTTCTTAAAGGTCCTTAGGTTTTTTTGGAATCGATTTTTGGTCCTTAAAGTCCTTAATTTTGGTCAAAATTGGCAGAAGGTTCTTAAATTTAATCATCTGAAATTTCTGTCTGTTTTTACAACTGCCATTTTGAGTGTGAATTAGCATTTTGGAGTAATATTTTTGGCGATTCACTGATATACGAGGGGTGATCCAAAAAAAAGTGTGCAAGACAAATGGGAATCAAGAGACACATCTGGCCTTCACTTTTCCACATAGTCGCCAAAACTGTTTAGGCATTTGTCAGAACGTTTGACCAACTTGTTTATCCCATCTTGGTAGTAATCAGGGCCCTGCTCATTGAGCCATGCTCGGCAGCTGTTTTCACTGCATCGTCTGAGGTGAACCATGTTCTGGATAAGTATCGCTTCAACGCCGGAAAAATGAAATAGTCACTTGGGGCCAAATCGGAGCTGTATGGGGGTGATTCCTGACCTCCCACTTGAACCTTTGCAGCAGTTCCTGAGTCTGGCGAGCTGTATGGGGCCTGGCATTGTCATGCAGAAGAATGATGCATTTACTCAGTAATTCAGGCCGTTTGCCTCGGATGGCTTTATGCAATTTCGTTAAGGTGACACAATAACGATCGGCCTTAACGGTATGGCCACGCTCCAAATACTCGATTAGGATAGCACCAGTCGCATCCCAGAAAACGGTTGCCATCGCTTTACCGGCAGAGGGTGTGACCTTAAAATTCTTCCTCGTCAGTGATCCAGCGTGTTTCCACTCCATCGTGGCTCTTTTGGATGTGGGGGTGAAGTGATGAAGCCATGTTTCATCACCGGTAACGATGCAATCAATGAAGTGTTGGCCGTCTGAATGGTATCACTGAAGAAATGTGAGGCTGCACATCATTCGAGTGGCCTTATGCTTCGCGGACAACGCACGTGGAACTCAGCGGGCACAAACTTTGGAATATCGCAACTCGTCGGTTACGATACGCTGAACATTACCATAACTCAGGTCCAACTCTAGGGCAATCTCACGCATGGTTACTCGTCGATCCCTTTGGCTGATTTCTTCAACATGTGCCGTGTTGATATTCGTCCTTGAAGAACTTGGACGGCCGCTCGCTTCCATATTGCGGTTTTCCACATGCTCCCTGCCCACTTGATAAGAACGACACCATTTCGCTACCTGCTGTCTACTCATTGCTTTGTCCCCGTATACCTCAATGATTTGTCTGTGAATTTCGGATGTGGTCACATTCTTGGCCCATAAGAATCGAATTGCGGCTTGCACCTCTATGCGAGACCACTTTTCTAGACGTCGTACCATTACTGTCGCTCTTAAGTGTCTGCGTACTGATGCTACTTACTCGTAGAACCGCCGTAGGACAAACAGCGCCATCTATCAACCACCCTGGGTGGAAATATTCGCTCCACAATTATTACGTTTCAAATGCTTCTGCTTGTAAACTTTTTTTTTGATCAACCTTCGTATATGATTATCTTTTGAATTGGTGCATGGGTTGTAATTTGTTCCCATTTCTAATATAAATGGTGGGATACTCAAGTTTTTAAGCAAGGAGTGAAACAGAAGCATTTTGAAATTAATTTTTTCTAATGAAGAGCTGGTGATGTGAATTCTTTTATTTAAGAGTTCTAAATTTTGCGACTTATCAACATCTTCGCTATTTTAAGATCAGTTAGTATAAAAAATTTTTAATTCTGAGATCTGAGAATTTTTTGACGATTTTTTTAAAACATTGTGACATTGATAAATTTCATTAACCCGGGAAGATGCGTGTGGGGTGCTTTTGCACCCCACACTCAAAAACATTCGTTGGCAATCTCCCCCTATAATCCAAAATGCTTAGGTCCATCAGTAGCTGCCTTCAAGGTTATGTTCTCTATATGTCTCAAGAGAAACAGCAAATTCTGAGCATTTATTGTTGTTTAAATAATAGTTTGGTGTGTGCCAACACCCCGCGCGTGCTTTCGTGTTACTATTTTTCAGTGTAAGCCATGGCGTGTGCAAGTCGCTCTGTGCGGTCTTTTCCTCATTTGATGAATGATCAAGAAATGGAAAGACTTAAAAAATTATTAGAGGGGCTTTCGTCGGATGAAGATTCTATAGAAGAGGAATTAGAAGATTCAGATAATGAAGTTATATTTAGTGATCATGAGTCTGAATCAGAAGAGTGCAGATCTTCAGAAGACATTCCTTGTGATCAAACTGACTATTTTATAGGAAAGGATAAAGATTAGCTCCAATAAGAGATTAATTTGAAAATTTTGTCAAGAATTGACAGAAATTATATCATGTAGGGAAATATGCGACTTTGAACGAAAAGCTAAAACCTTTTTGAGGACAATGCTACTTTCGGCAATATATACGTAAGAAACCTGCAAGATATGGTGTAAAGATATTTGCTATGGTTGATTCTAGAAACCTTCTATGCTTTTAACATGGAAATTTACGCATGTCAGCAGCCAGATGAGCAGTACAAGAAAGTCAGCAGTTCTAGTGAAATAGCAAAGCACATCCTAGCTCCATTATACAAATCTGGAAGAAACTTTACCACAAACAATTGGTATACCAGAAAAAGACAGAAAATCAAAAACTATATGTGTGAAGTGTAAAAAACATATGTCAAGAGCACTGTAAAATAGATGCTTCATGTATATATTAAAAAATATTTAATGCTTCTTGGACCTAATTGATTTTAGTATTAATTTTATAACTCGTTGTTCATGTAATAATTTTGCATAATTTGGATTATAATTGCAGTCACAAATAAAAAACAAATATTTCTCATAGAAATCAATGATTCCTAGACATCTGGGGGGGGGGAATAAATCTATTTGTTATTAATTTTAAAATTAGCATTACCTTAAGCTATTTTATATAATAAATGTTGCGATTAATATAGAATGCATTCTTTTACTGAATTGTAATAATATGTTTAATTTGTACGTCATTTAATTACTTGGGGTGTCTTGACACCCCATGCGTGTTCTCATGTTACATAATACAGCACGCGTCCTCCCAGGTTAAAATACTAGTAGTATATTGAAATTATATTTTAAAAATAACATTAAAATAAAACATTTTTACTTTTTGCTGTCATATTATAAAGTTTCATTTTGGCAACTTTTATTATGCAGTATTTTGGATCTGACAAATAAACAA